AAATCTAAATTGTTGGCAGTGGTGCCCAACCACTTTACTTTTCTGTAGACCATAGTTTGTAATTAAAGGGCAGTTGGCCTATGAACATTTACTTAATTAATTTGATTATTTTTTATGTGTTTTACTTATGATGTATGCCTTTAGGGTTGCATGTTTTTATTAATTTATTAGCGATTTGCATACCTCTTTTGATTTTGCCTGGATTTTGTCAGGCTCTTTATGGACTATAAAATTTTTCTACTCGTAACTAATACTTAAAATTTTAAGATTTAAATAACATAGAAACTTAATGAACCTAGGGAATTGACGGAGCCGTCCAGGGTCGCATGTATATTACTACATTTCTTTTCTCCCTTGCTTTGAGACACTCCCCCGCTTGCGGGTAGAGTCCGGATAATCTGGCCTATGAGAATGAGGTGCCAAACCTAGGGGAGCCTAATCTCCTTCTAAAAATTATTTTTATATAAGCCTGTTTTTAAAATCTGATGCATATTTGATTTAGCTTCTTTAACCAACATACATTGCATTAGTAACTAACTAAATTACGTTTTAATTGCATTAGTTAGGGGCATTTATCGAACATAAGTCTAGGACCAATTATGAAACTCTCTAGATGTCGGTCATACTTCCAAGAAACTGTACCACCCACCCATCTCTCATAACTGATTTGATAGCATGGTTTTAAAGCAATTAGCTGGTAAGTTGGCTCCCCAATCCAGGCTGAGGTAAGTCTAAATTTTGCACCGTATTAGCTAGGACACGGGAGTTTGTGTGCGTAAAACACTAAACCCAACATAGATTTAGGATTCGAGGCTACTACACTCAGTTTCGTAGTATGCCTTAAATAGTAGGTAAGTTTCTATCCTTCAGGGACTATAAATCCTACTTATCTGCGTCACAGAATGACGCTACCTCCATCCTTCTCTCATGCATGTGTTGAGTGCTTGATTTCTTTTCCCGAATTTCTCTTTAGTACCCTAGATCCTCCAAATGCTGGTATGGACTATGCATGCTGATTGAACCAAATTGAACATTTCTTCCCCTTGAGTAGGACTTCTTAGTCTATACCCTTATGCTGATCCCATTTTAAGAAAGGGATAATATATGATCCTTAATCGAGAGTCTTCTCAGAGTCTGGCCTTAGATGTAATTAATCACGGGGGCTTGCGCCCATGGGAAACATGAGAAACTTGATCCCACATCTAATAAATCCCACTCGAGATGTTGTATCGGGTGGGAGAAACCCGTTGTGATCAGGTCGTGTATATTACTACCCATCGGGGTGCACTGGCGAGAGCCGCTATCCTCAATGGTTAGTCGTATGCAGGATCTAATATGCCCTTGCATTGACCGGTTCGTGTCAAGTGTAAAGGCCTACGATCGTTTTGTCCTACGGGATAGTGCGGTCGTACCATTTGCATTCGAACCCCACGAGCGGTGCTCTTTCGGAGGTCCGACACATCTTTTACAATATTCTTAATATTAATAGCCACTTTTCCCCACATAATATTAGCATCCTCGTGCACAGACAAAATCTTAAGATCTAAAATCTTACTCTCAAAAATACTTTTATTAATATTTTTTAAATGCCCCCCAATTCAAGAATATCATTTTATTTTATTTTTTATTTTTACCCCCTTATCTTAATGTCCAAAAATAATAATCGGTGTTTGGTACATAAATTTTTACTCAGAATAACTTTACAATCTTTGTAATCTAAACGATCTAATTTTCTTATTAGAAAATAATCAATCTATATTTTATTATATCCATTTTTATAAGTGATAAGATGCTCATTTCTTTTCTTAAATAAGATATTAACTATTAAAAAATCATAAGCTAAAGCAAAATCTAATATGACCTTACCACCTTCATTTATTATTTCAAACCCATGACCACCATGAATGCTTTTAAAATCATTTATCTCTCTACCAACATGAACATTTAAATCTCCTCCCAATAAAAATTATTTCTTCAAGTGGTATCTTTTGTATTAATTCTTCTAAGTCATTCCAAAATTTTAATTTTGAACTCATATTCAAACCTACTTGAGGAGCATAAGTACTTATAATATTAAAAATCTTAGTATCAACAATAATTTTTAAAGCTATAATTGTATCTCCAAGTCTGTAAATTTTTATATTATTATCCTTCAAACTCTTATCTAAAATTACACCTACATCATTTTTAGTACGACTCCTATCCAAATACTATAGTTTATATCCTAAACTATCAATCTCCTTAGCTTTCTCTCCAATTCATTTAGTTTTCTGAATGCACATAATGTTTATCTTCATATGAATCATTATATCTATTAATTCCATTAATTTTTATGTAAATGAGCCTATAATCCAAGTTTTTATCTTAATTTTAATTTCATGGACTAACTTCTTTTCCTACATCTTTCCTTGATGTAGGAACCCTTGCACATTTAACATTATACTCGGGCGCCGGTACAGCGGCCCTTGCACACTAGTCGATGTATTCTAGCCATACATCATGTCGCTTCCAAGGGACACCCTCACATTAACATAATTTTTAAAGGGTTTATGTCATGATTATTCGATAAGTTTTATATTGGTTGTCGACTACCTAACACAACCCTCCATGTTTCTCATCCAGGACTTGAGACCTAGCAACGACAGTTTTCAATGATAGATTTTGAAGTCATAAAAAAAATATCAAGTGTAATAAAAGATATATAACCATAATAACCGGATTAATAAAGTTTTTTTTTTTTTTTTTCATTTGCATATTATTCTTATTTACAAACTTTCGATTACTTATATTAGTTTAGAAGATAAACTTCTAATTTAAATTAATTTAGATTATTTTTAATTTTACCACTCTATCTTTGGTTCTGTTATTGATCATGAAGAGTTAACTCATCTATATTCACATTAAATTCATCAAGCATCCATAGGATTCATAGAATTTATGAGAAAAATTTTATTGAACTCCGTTTTTTTTAAATTGTATGTTCTTTCTTTTAACCTTTTGATTTTTGTCAATTCATGTGCATTACAAGGTAAAAATTTTAACATTTGCTGAAGCTTGGCTCCATTCTCTCATGGATAGAAAATCTTTGCCTTTTTGCTCCACATTCTTGGCATCTCCTTTCTAGAGGAAAAGAAAGGAGAGATAGAGATGGCCACAAAATTTTAGAGTAAAAAGTTTTTATGATTTTTTTTATTTACTACCAAACATCAAAATTAGTTTCTATGTGTCTACATCCTAGAAATGGTCCTTTGATTATATTTATAAGGTTTTGAGAACTAAGGGATAAGATATATATATATATATATATACATATATGACATAAGTCTTAAAAACAGATAATCAGAATTCCAACAAATGCACGTATATAAAGCAAGTAACTAGGGGAGATTTCCAATCGAGTAATATCGGCTTTAGATAACATAGATGGATTTATCATATTAACCATGTGAGTGTCTCTCTTAAGATAGGGTGAGTGATTCGTGTGACTGGAGCATATGACCCCTCAAATTGTGATGAGTGGCTCCTTTGTCTAAGGAGACTGCCTCTTCTAACTAGGAGTTACCATGAGGGCAAGTGATCATAAGAGAGAGCGACTCCAAGAGAAAGCCATTCTAAATGTGAGTGATGTTGAGGGTGAGTGACCCACTCAAGCTGAGCTAGTAACTTCTAACATGTGTGTCTCGATCCCTGAAGAATTTGCTTATCTAATTGACTTATCTAGGCCCGCATATTTGGTTATCACTATTCATTCTTGTCAATAAGTTGTTAGCATTACTTAGAGATAAATTTACATTCATAATCCTCATAAATTATTATTTGCGGACACCGGATGGTCTGGAAATCAACCAGCATTCACTATGTCACCCGGTACATAGCGGTTCCGAGCACCGGTACCGAGCAAAAAGTGACATGACACATTCTGATTGATCTCTGGACGCCATCCGTAGTTCACACTGAATAATTTTTTCATAATCCTTGGATGTTTTTTTTTTTTAACTTTTTTTCGTTGACAAAATTAAGTGCATAGATGTAGCCGGTTCTCTTAGCATACCCGGTTGGCAAACTCATCTATAATAAATTAATTATTAGCGGGCAGGCTAAAGCACAAATTAAGAGCAGGGGATTTTTCTCCCAACAACAGGCCTCCACCAAGCGTTTTATTGGCTCCACAAAGACAAGGCTGCTGCTTTCTGATAATAAACTGGGCACACATATCCATGTAAAACTTTCAGGCGTTTAGCTGGTAGGAAAATGCCCATTCATCTGATTCGGGCAAGGAAACTACTTAAAAAAGTGATAGGTCTCTGCCCAAGTAGCTGTTTCTGCCAATAAAAATTAAGATGCTGCAGAGTTGGGCCAATCTCAGTCATTGGCATGTAATGCTGGGCCACCATAGGAGATCATAGTTTGGAAGCAATACCATATTGCCATGCCTAGCTTCTTTTCAGAACCAAACGTAGTACAGGAAGAAACCTTACAGATTGATGAAGCAATTTTCTAAAAATATGATGCTTGCAGTGAAAGTAATAATAAGAAAACACTCATCAAAGCACGTGGCTCATCTTAGTCTGCTGGTTAGGAGTTTTGACTCTCAATAAAAAAAATCTTGGGTTCGAAAATCACGTATGTGATGTTTGTGTGATTTTGTCTTAATTGGCCTTTATGTACAACAACAAGCCTTTGTCCCACTACGTGGGGTTAGCTACCTGAATTCTTTTTCTCCATTGTGTTATATTAAAAATCAAATTCTCGTTTAAATCTAATAAAAAAAAAGATCAATTGGCCTTAATATCGACAACAAAAAAAGGCCGATTGCTGTTGTGCCGTTCTTTAAATTTTTTTTTTGGACATTTAGGCAAATTAAGACAAACTCATACTCACAACGCAAAAACAAAGACTCAAATCAAATACCTCTTAATTGGTAGCCTAAACTCTCAACCAAAATGCCAAGATGAGCTGAGTCCGTTCTTTAATTCAGATCATCAAGTGGTGGCTCCAGCTCTCTCAATATAGAATCTCAAGGCACTGAAAAGAAGTGGTGAGTTTGGTTTAAAATGGAATGGGGAAGCGCATTTAATTGCATTACTTAATTGATTCCCTTTCTTCTTCTAACAACAAAGACTACCTACTAAGACATTACATTCATAAGAGCACAATACCTAAACAGCAAAGATAGGACACAGTTGGAACTAGCTGTGTGTCCCCGCACCTCTCACAAATGATCTTCGCCACCAAACCTGGAAGGCTTTGCTCAGATTAGGGCACTCGCTCCCCTGTGAGCCAAAAAACTGGAACCACTCAACAAAGAGGGTATGCTGTTGCTTCAGAGGAAGAGTGAGGATAACCTGGCCCAGACCTTCCTCCAACATCCTCATGTCAAGCCCCTTCGGACACCTTTGTATCCATCCAAAGTCCAGCAGCAATGGCCTGAACCATTTGCGAAGAACGGAGTGCCGAACATCCGCACGGCACTGAATATTTCCTCTTCCCATTGCCATGAACACACTTGCCGAGATCCTGCTTAGCTCATACCTTATCATTGAGGAAGTCCTTTCATGAAGCCTGACCAGCTCATCTTGGGCAGCCCACAAGTAGACAAAATCCACAGCCATCTGCTTGTCTATGAGAATGTCAAGCAACCAGTTGAGGTTTTCGACTTGTTTGGAGACTCGCTCAACTAGCGGCCTTTGATCTTTTGTCAACAATACTGGTTCAGCACGAAGAGAACTAGATGCTTCTTTAAAAAGTTCCATCAGTGAGTTTACACAGGTTCCGCATATGCCATACAGGCTATCCTTGTTAAGACCAGCAAGCTCTTTCGAATAAACTGAGCTCTTGGAGAAGAGACCATTCACTAAAGCCTGCAGCTCCTTCCTCGCATTACCATTAATACCATTGGTCACAGATCTTATCAGCTGCACAGCTAGTTCTTCAGAGCCACTTGAACCAACTGAGTGTAACCTTGCTAGAACTTCTTCAGTAACAGATGCATCAAAAGTGCATCTCGAGAATAGACTTTTCAACTTCTCCTCCTCATGCTCGCTCCATGGAACTGCTTCTAAGTATTTCAAGCAGGACCTGGTGCCTCTGTCAAACATGACTGAAGTTGATACCTGTAGCAAGGCTTTCTAGTTAAGGATACAAAAGAAAGCATTGGAAGGTTACAACTAATCGAAAAAGTAAATTTATTCAAGCTTGCAAGTTTTTTAAGGTAAGAACCATGGCATCAAACTGCGAGTTATGTCATGATTACACAACATTCTCTCTTGGATACTGAGAAGAGAAATGGATAAAGTGAAGTAATGTGGGGTTCGACTAATTAATAAAGGAAATTACTGAAAAGCAGATATCGAGGAAATTTCAGAAAGGAATTTTACAAGTACAGGTTATTTTCTTGCCCCTAATCCATGCATAACAAGGTGGCCGTCAGAATGATCAAATTAAGCAGAGATTGTTTTGAGCTCCAACAAGAACGTGCAGATAGAAGCCCAAACAATGAACTACCAAATCAAGAATAAGGGTTCGTTTGGAATGGTTGTAACTTTTTATAAAAATCGTTGTAAAGTTATTATACCAAAAAATTGATTTTTTTTAAAACGGTTGTAGAAAGCAACTTTCTAGCATAAAAAATTATTGAAAATAGTAAAAAAGCAATGTCAAAATAAAAACTGTTATTACAGTCTGAAAATCAACCAAGTATGACAAATGTTCTCTTATCAAGTAATGCATACTGTTTCAGCCAACTCCAGATAATGAAGTCAACTGACTTATAACTACATCATCTTGTACATATTAAGGTCCATTGGCAGTTTTTCTCCTAGCTCCAAAAGATCTGAATTTGGTTGAGCCTAACTTGTAAATACCCAGAATATATCAGTTGCAATATCAATTATATTTTAAGCTGAAAATGCAGAGAGTTGGAGGACCTGCGCTTCGACAAAAAAAATAAAAAATCCAAGAAAAAGTCAAAGTATAACAGAGATTTTGTTGGTGTACATGAACACATGAATTTACTAGTATACCACCCAAAAATTAAAAATAAAGAGTATAACACCCCATTTGATTAACTCTTAACAAAAATATTATCCTAATTAGTTGTTGTTAACCTCGAGAGATTAGTATGTTAACTCTTTAAAAACCATTATAAAAATGACCCACCCCACAAGTTCAGACGGATAAGGTATAATTCTCAAAGGTCAAATTCCACACATATCATAATAGAGCTGAATTGGGTAGGCCAACATAAGACTTCGGGCTAGAAACACAGCCTAATCGCAAAATTGACAAGCTCCACTAAATTTTGTTGCGTGGGTCCTGAGCTCATACCAAGAGACTGAAGTATAGGATTAATTATACCTTACAATGCAAAATTACTGTAATTAAAAGCTGATCGACATATTCAAAATCACTGATAGGTTAGGATAGCATTCCAGTAAGGTTAAAAATTAGTACCAGTATGGCATACAAATAAAAATCCCTTTTTAAAAAATAGTCAAAACCCATATTTTCAATAAAGTGCGAGCTGAATTTGCACATTTCAGCCATCATGAAACAGTGGTAGTTCAAGTGGAGGACTATCAACAGGAGCGTGTTCTCTCTAATGAACATCAAAATCCACAGCAGACGTTTATTATAGCCACCTTAATAATTCAAATCCACAAAAAAAGCTGCCCTGCATAGAGAATGCTAGCAGACATATAAATCATCCAATAAATTTGATCCGCCAATGTCAATAGGTTATAACCCAATAATCTTCACGCGGTTATAGTAACAAGACAGCGTGCAATGCAAATACAATGTTTAAGCTAAAGACAGTTGGAAAGCAGAAAGAAGGTAAAATGTAAGGCCATGGAGAAACAAATGCCTTAGTTAGCATCAATAGCAAAAAATTTAGTATGATTATATATAGTTCCTTAAGAATAACGTGGCTTAGAATTAGATGCAATTTATTACAGCTCAAAGGAAGCCTCTGGTACAAGGAAAGCAATAACAATGTTAACAAATAGTATTATTAAGTAAATAATCCTTTTCAAATACACAAAAATACGGCATTATGTATGATGGTGCAATGAGGCTCAAAATATGCTGCAGCAAGTTGTAACGGCAAGATGCTTATAGTAATAGCATAATAGCATTAAGTTTTTGGGCGGTAATAAAAGTAGAACTGAAAGAGGTCATAATGCATGTGAAATAAAGGAAGCATGTTGTCATCCAGAGTGATAGCAGCAGAATAATCAATACAACTGAAATCCCTCTAAGAAATTTAACTCAATCCTCCCAAATAGTTGGCATAAGATCAAATGATGATGATGACGATGATAACTCAAAAAACTAAGTGGAAAAAAAAAAGGATAGAGAAGCAAACATCATTGAAAAATGTTTATACTTTCATTGTTGAAAAAATCTGATTTAACAACCTTTCATAGTGCAATCATCATGACACTTGTCAGTTCATCCTATTTTTCAGTAGTCTGCATGTCCACTGTTTTTTAAGTTTAAAGAAGCAAGAATAGTTTTAGTAAATCCAAAAATGAACGAAGGGAATGGCATTCATGCAGCAAAATGACATCATTCATATTTTGTTTTGAAAAGATATCACATAGTTCCACCAAAACAAACAAAAGGAGTCCCACCCATTCTACAATCACATTAAGAGCCAAGTACAAGTGTGCATGTATCTTTACCTGCAATTGATGAAAATTTTCATCTAATAAAACCATAAGGGAATTTGATGTTGATTTATATGAACAAATATGTCATCTGCAGAATAAGGGAATAGTGCTTTATCTATGGGCCGATTCTAACACTAATCATCAACAATATTAAGCATACATCCCAACAATTGTCACCATCTTAATAATCAAGGACACCGAGTAGTAGCTCATGTAGCATTGCACGGTAAATTTGAACACGCAATGCCTAATAATATGTCTTTATTCTGAGTCCAACACTTCACTCATCCCTTAGGCTAATAGACAGCACTTTGAAAAAAATAAAGTTTTCCTTATCCTCCATGTAATATCAGAGCATCAACAGCATTGTTATTCTAACAAGTAACAGTCAAATTTGTTGACCTTCCTCCACCCCATTCTTCGTAAGTGCGATATGAGATGTTGATATAATTTTGCCAATAGTCCACTTATTTTATTTCCTAATCCTTTTACATTCGATTCTATGGACGCGTCTTATAAGCGCATCTTTTTTCCTCTGTCATAAATATCATACAAGAGAACACAATGCAAAGGAGAAAGGGACTACAACGGATCAATTAACCAGGCAAGCAGTCCTCCAGCACATGCATTGCTATTCTACAAGTTTTCTTATGCTGACAGGTCAAAACAGATTCTACTAAATAAATGTTGGGGTTTGCCTACACAATTGCTATCATGTATGCTTAAAATCAAATCATAGATATAATATTCCGTAAAGAAACTAATTTCCAACAAGTACTGAAAATCAAACTCACTTCAGTAACAACTTTGGTCCTCATCACACTACCCAAGAACCCTAAATTGCTAAAACATCAATGGAATCTTATTCCTGCAGTCAAAAACCTATAAAGCAAATATCAAATGTTCAAATGTCACGTAACTTACATCTAACAACAAGAAGCAGCAGTCTCACCTCGAGCACATCAATTGCTCGTGACACGCCCGCTTTCATGAGCCACTTCATCTCGTTCCTATCGTACATCATCTCGATTGTGTCCCTGAAAACGTCCAAATCCTCCACTCCATCGACCTCGATCTCCCAACAATCTTTGAGAGCATCGGACACCTTCCGGCGGGACCTCAAAACCATTCCAGCAAAATATGAGCTGTTAGCGCAGAGAACCTCGGAATCCATCTCCATCATCAGGCTCCTGCCGTCCCTGCCAGTCACCTTGAACCTTAAATCCAAGCCCTTCTCCCTGTCGCACGCACCGGAATCCACCTTCGCAGCGGAACTCGGGAGATCGCCGCCAGGAAGCGACGGGTAAGGGACCTCGTGCTCTTCAGTAGAAACGAAGGAACTGGCCTTTTCAGGAAGCTGGACGAGCGGCACATAGGAGTCGATGGGAGAGACCCGTCCAGGGGAAAGGATCCGGCGTGGATCGATGATGCCTAGGCCGAGCTTACTGCTCGGGGAAGGAGAACTGTGTAAGGAGTTAGTGCAGGAAGGGACCTTCGGTGCCGCCACAGTTGCCACCGCCGGCTGCTTATAAGGATTTCGAGCTGAATGGCGACAATCAGGGCTCTGGGGGGCGGCAGCGAAGGAGCAGCACCACGCGCCACGGAATCCGGAGCTTCTCCGGCCGGACGAAGCTGTGGACCGGCGGTTCCCGCCGGGATCCAGCATTGGAGAGGCCCGCAAGGCAGATAAGTGGGAGTCAATAAGAGAGATACGGTTTTAGGGTTAAGGTTGGAGCTTCACCCGACGCACATGGAGATGGAGATGGAGATGAAAGGTCAGCCTCGCTTCGTCTCTTTGCAGGCCGAGAGGGGTTGGATTCTTGCTTCGTCCTTAGTCCTCCGTTTCTCCTTTATTTGTTTGAAGGAATCTCCTAGGTGTCATCTGTGCTGTGTGCCTTTATCCAACTGTCCTAAGGGAAAATTATTCAGTGCGGAGTCGGGACGTTTTTTTTTTTTTTTTTTTGGGTTTTTTACAGTCATACCACTTTATAACACCTATTTTATATATTTAACATCTAAAACATAAATATTTCATATACACCACCCTAACACAATTTTAACCTCAAATATACCACTCCGTTCCTTATCTAGGTCACGACGTTATCACCCCGAAATCGCAAGCTCTTCCCTTCCTGTGCTCCGTTGCATCCGCTCCCTCCTGCTCGGTAGTTGGAAGCGATTCAGGGTGCGTTTGCAGAAGGAGTTTCTCTCGTGACGTCGGTTTGCATCGGTTTTCCATCTGCTCCGCTCCGTAGATTTTCTTTCTTGCGGCATTCATGCTTTTTCTATTCATTTTCGTTTTGGCTTTTTAGTTCTAGAAGAAAGCAAAATGGATATTTTGTTTTTGATTTTTTCATTTGATCTTAAATCGCTGAAGCAAGAAAAATGTATGAAGCAAAATGCATTTTTAGAGTTTACTATAAGCTTCAAATTAAGTATAATTTTTTTATTTCATATAAATTTAAATTTATTCATAGTTTATATTTCTTAATTATTTTAATTTCAACACTTTAAAAGGCATGAAATCGAACTTGCATTTAGTGTTTTGGTTTTTTTTGTAACTGAAATTATTTTGTGCTGAGTCCCCATGTAGAGTTTTCATACATTCAGTTTTGCAATCTTATGTATTACAATTAATCCTATATTTACTTTTTTGACTGCACAGAATAATTTTTTTTATTTGTAATTTTGCTTGTACAGTTTTTGTATAAGGCAGTGAAGTAGGCTATAAGCCCTTTATACATAGTTTGTACAAGCTCTTGTACACAGTGTGTATAATACCATTGAACTAAATATAATGTCACGACCCGACCCGAGACGAGACGGATCCCGCTCGTCCAGACGAACCATACAGCCAAACATGATTTTCTCTGCACAACCTGTACCGATCGTCCCGGACGATTCGACTTCGTCCGGACGAACCTGGAGCAAAAACTGATATTACATATAATGTGCGTGATAATGAGAAAAATGAAAATATCATTGATGATTTTAAAATTAACAAATATTGAATTAAATACAAAAGTTTATTTTGTTGAGTTATTAATGTGTTGTTTTATTTTATATTATATTGAAACTAATGTTAATAAATATGATGAGAAAAAAATATTTTACAAGCTTGTACAGTTTATGTATAAGAAAAATCTAGACTACTGTATAGTGTTTACAAGCTCTTGTACATATTGTATACAAGCTTCTTTTAGTAATGTAAACACTGTGTATAACCATGTACACATGTATTACTAAAAAAAAATATTTAATCTTTTAATGTTTTTGAGACAAATTAATAAATATTTTGAACTTTTATTATTATAGATGTATATCTCAAAGGTTAAATTTTATTACAGACCCTCAATATTTAGATCTATATGCGACACTTTGAAAGGGATATTACGCGATGAAGTGGAGGATGCTTTGAAGATGTTAAACATATTTCAATGTACAGAGTTCCCTTCATTTCAATAAAATATACCACTAACCTGCATGTTGCTGTCATATTTGGATGTGCTCAAACAAGTAATCATAATCAAAGGGTATGAGCTAAGATTTATAATGTATGAAGTGGATTTAATGACTGGGTTGTCAAACATGGTTGATTTGATATACTGGGAATCTGAGCTACTAACAAAATATACTTAAATAAAAATTAAAAATGAAATGAAGAATATTGACAAATGAAGCCCCTTCTATCATTATTGTAAATTTATACATCAAGCTTATATTGTCCAATTTGTTATTTCCCAATAATAACTATAGAACCCAAAGTATGGTCATTACTATTACCTAGAATGAAGATGAGTTCACTAGGTATAATAGGGCTATGTCAATTAGGAATTTCTTAATTGTTTAGTTTGATTGTATGGTGATGAAACATGCTGATGATGTCGCCATAGGATATATGAGTGGATTTATTCTTTCATTAATGGTGAGTACTATCTCTAATTAGATTTGTTAATGGTGGATTTTTTAGTGATTAATTTGTTCCTTTTTCTAGTAATATTTATTGATCATATACATATTTGACTTCTAGGACACATATCCTTTCTTGACCCTACATTGACTGACATAAAGCCCTGTTTCCTTCATTGGGGAAGCCACAATTTTTTTTTTCTATTATCGAGATCTTCGATATATTTAGTGATCTTAGTGATGACAAAGTTTAAATGATTCCTTATAATCTTATACCCTAAACCCTAAATACACACTATGTACAGGCATGTACACACTATGTATAAGGTTATCGTAAGCTTGTACAATATGGGTTGTACATATTAAATAAGCTTCTACACATTGTATAATGGTACACATGCTGTGTATAACCTTATACACATTATGTACATGATTACCACAATCTTATACAATATTATACAATATTGTATATAGTTTATTTCATTTTGTACACAGTGAGTATATCCTTGTACACACTGTGTACACGCTTATATTTTTTTTATAATCTCTACATTTACCAGATCATTTAAATCATTCAATATAATATATAAATCATTCTATGATGAATATTAAGTGCATAAAAGCTTTTACACAATATGTACAAGCTTTTACACACTATGTACTTGGCTACCACAATCTAGTACAACAGTGTGTAATCTTGTACAAAGTCTTTATAAAATTGTATAAAGTAGATAATATTGTACACATTGTTTAATAGGACTCACTTCTATGTAGATTTTGTATTCATTCCAATTTGTTACTAAGGAGGAAGCAGCATTGATTGTTAAAGTTTTTCCAACCCTACAATCCTTCCTAACTTATCCTACCTTTTAAACCCCACATATTGTCTCTTCTCTTGCGACCTATCTTTCTGACACCCTTGAGCAAGCCACATATGTTTTCCCTCAGGAGACTTATATCCCTCACTCTCCTATGCAAGCCCCATAATTCTCCCCTCATGAAACCCATATCCCTCACTCTCCTCAATAAACCTAATGATTTAAATCTTATATATTAAATTACCAGTAAAATCATGTGATTTTAATTGTATTGTGTAGGAAAAATATATTGAAGGCATAAAATTTCAAGTATCAAACAACGCCAAGATGTTATTATTAACATTTCTGGAGTGCCCAATATGAATATAGTGGCACCCAATCTCGGTTTGATAGTGTCGCGACGTCAGAGGAGTCAACACTGTAAAGCCCAATCTCTATCTACACAGTGTCACAACGTTGATTTTCAATGCCACTAAGCTGAGGGGAGTATCATGTGGATGCTACTGTGCTCAACCGTTAGTAGTGCCACAATGCTACAGTTATAACAAATCAAGATATTATATGCTAGCAAAGCTAGCAAAGCAACACGTCAATTCATTAAACAACAAGTCCATATTAGTAAGCACCGCAGAGGAGAAAATTCTCCAGTGCCGCGATGTTAGTTCATTTTATGGGCGCCACGGCTCAAATGTCTAAAGTGTCATGGTGTCAAAGTCTATTTTCTGTAATTTTCTATAAATATTTCATTTATAATATTAGTAAGGGAGTTCAGTCACTTAGTTAATTTCATTCTTGATAGTGCTTCTCTATAATTTCCTTAGGAGTGACAATTAAAGAAATTAAGGGAGCACTATATCCACTTAATAAGAGTATTTGTGGAGGCAATTATGTATGTTCAAGGAGGAGTGTAGAGGAGTTTATTAAACTCATATTGTCATATCTTTTGGTTTGTACTTTCTTTTTTATGCAATTAATAAAAATGAGTTTACTTCACTTATTTTTCATGTATGGTTAAATTCTCTAATTTTAGATTAATGGTGAAAATGAAATGTGGAGTACTAATGAATTTTCTTTATCAATAATTTAATAATTTTTTTAATATATCAAGTCTTTATTTAATGCACATAGTGGTCATATGTGTAGTTAATATCGAGTGTAATATGTAGCCTATGAATAAAAATAGGCACAACTAGGTATATTAGATTCGTATGATGCAAGCATAGGCATAGTATTTGACATATACCAAATTTATAAAGATAATTGTATTGATGATGTTTTAATAATACATACTTTACTTACTCTTCTAAGATTTTAAATGGGTGATAGACTATAGGAGTTTAAATGATATTGAGGTTGAAAGGCTTAATATGTCCTTTATCTTTTCATGCTCGACTGAGCACTAGGCAATGCATATGCTCTAAATAACATAAATATAAAAGAGAAGCTTTAGAAAATATATTGTATTTATATTCTAATAATTTAAAGCATTTTATCCAAATAGTATTTCATTTATTTTTTTAATTAAGTGATAGGATCTCCACAAAAGAAAAAATTATTGAGAAGGGTATTTATTGTAATTATAGTAAAAAATACTAGTATTTATAAGTAAATATTATTACTCATGAGATTTATACTCTACTCTAAAACATATAAAAAGTTTCACAATAAAAGTTTTACATATACAAAATTATCTGCATTTTTTGCTAACCAAAACAAATATTTAATAGAAGAATTCACAAAAATTGCATATTTTTAAAAATTGAGATAGACATAATGTGACTTACCTCGACACAAACAAGTTTTCCAACTAGGTTGATGGACTAAAATGGCCCGAAATTGACCAAAATCCGGTTTTGATTTTCTCTCCTCTCTTTCTTCCTAAATTTCCTTAATCTGTTCTCTGTTTGGGGGAAGTTTTACGTATACAAAATTATATGCATTTTTTGCTAACCAAAGCAAATATTTAATAGAAGAATTCACAAAAATTGCACATTTTTAAAAATTGAGATAGGCATAATGAGACTTACCTCGAGACAAACAAGTTTTCCAACTAGGTTGATGGACTAAAATGGCCCGAAATTGACCAAAATCCGGTTTTGATTTTCTCTCCTCTCTTTCTTCCTAAATTTCCTTAATCTGTTCTCTGTTTGGGGGAAAAAATGAAAAAATAAAGCTTTATCATATTAACCTTTTTGGACTTTTGGAGAACTAGAGAGATAAATATTAAATAAGGCTTTAATTGTTTTTTAGATTTTTGATATACATGTATATTCTAAGGCTTGTATTATATGATTTTTTTGGATGTTATCAATTACTTGAGCTTGTGAAGTCATTTTGGTGAGGAGGATCATGCCTACTACAAGTTATCATCGATACAACCTCATGGCATGCCTTCCAGGTTTTGTGAGTGGAGACTCTATCTACCACTAATCCTCTTGGAGATATTCTAAAGAGAGTCATGTGCGCTAACAACTTCCCATCAAAACTATCTTATGGGCATCTCTTCTATAATTTTTATTAAATATAATGTTATTTATAAAAGAAAATTTTAATTAATAATTTGAATATATATTTACTTGAAAAATGCATTTTTATCTCCAATAGAAACCAATATAAATTCTCTTTGAAATATTAACAAGTTCAACTTTTTTAAGTTCTTATAATTATAAAATCTTCTAATGTATTGGCACTCATATTAAATAATTTTAATATTTTTCTTGCTTTAACTCTTCCGGGCTCCTCTAATTTGAGGCTAATGATCTACAAAATCTAATAAATAATAGGTGAGATGTCCATAGTGAATGAAAAATATTTTATGTTGAATGTTCTCTTGTAGAAGTAATATTATTAAGACTAATCTCCATCATTTGAATTTTTTTAAATATTTTAGTCAATTTAGTTGTTTAAAATTTTGGGTCTCCATAAAAAAGTTAGCCCTATATGTGTTTAATAAGGTATTATTTATTGAATTTGGTGAGAAAATTATGTCTCATCCATTGACTGGTCCTAATTTTTTCATCGAGTAAACCGATTAGTATTTTATTATGAATTCTTCTATTTGCTTGAGGATTGTTCAAATTCGATTTAATGAATGCTCATGGTATCATTCTTTGGTATTTGTACTTATACCAAATAAATAAGATCAATGTAATGTGGATTATCAATTATTTCAATGAGTAGAATGGTTCGAGGCAAAAGCCTCCAAGAAAATGTATATCATAGTAACTCAAAATCCACTCCAAAGGTTTGATGTATTTTAGAAGAGAATCTTTGGAAGTACTCCTTAAGAGTCTCTCCCTTATTTTAAGAAATTTTAGAAAGATGGAAAGAGTCCTTGATGGTCTTCTAATAGGCAACAAGTTGCTAGCAAAAAGGTTTATCAGATTAATAACAATTTGAATTGTTGTAATAGAGAGAGTAGAACAAGGAGCAAGCTTGTTCATTAGAAGTTATGGAGAAGACTAGGTATAGGACTATAGTAAGAGCTTGTTGAATATGTATAATGATTCTATAATTGTCAATATGCAAAAAAGAGTCAAAATTCTTATCATATGAATCAATTGTTGGCAATTTAAACCCTAATGAAATATGATTTGAAGATGCTTGTAAGTTACAGTGAGAGATAAGTTAACTTTTTTTCCATCAAAGAAAACTTCTTGTTGATAAATTATCGCAACTCATATATTATAACATCATGAGAGGCATCAATAAGAACGTATAGAATAATAAGAGCATGATGGGTTAAACTGCCAGTATTTGAGTGAAGTTGATGTTGTGTTGGAGGGGGGGTTATAATGTTAGAAGGTACTGTGTAAGTGGTATCAAATAAATCAGCCTTAAAATCAATAAGGTGGGGATTTTTTTGGAGATATATCAACAATATTATGATACAACTTTTTTTCGATAAAATATATGATAAAATAGAAATAACATGAGGGTAATTTATGAAACATTTAACACTCTTCGATATATCTTTTATATTGGATTAATATTTGTCCTCTTTATACTGATATAGTTAAAATAATAAAATTGAAATATATGATTAAAATAAAATTTGTAGGATAAATAATAAATTTGATATAGAATAGTTATTTTATAATTAAAATATAAATATCTTCTATTTGTATTTTGTACTATATGTTTTTATTTTATTTTATTTTATTTTTTTACTTTATTTACAGCCACCTAACAAAAAATTATGTTAAGAGCTCATAAACCTTTTTTTTTCCCCTTAAATTCTGATATCTATCGAAATCAATAGTTTTGACATTTATAAACAACAATTTAATTATAAAAAAGTTTTAAATTTGTTTTACAATTAGTACAATATAATTTTTTTAAATTATTTATATATTACCCTTATTTTAAAATAAAATTTAAATTTTAAATGAATCAATTTTCTCTATTTTAAAATAATCTTTAATCTTCTAATTCACTAATGAGCTCACAAGTCAATTTTATCAAGCCATGAGTTCGAGCTCAATCCTAAGTTGAAGCTCATATATTATGCAAGCATAACCTCGAGCTCAACATGGCTCGGCTCGCAAAGTCATCGAGCTGCTTACTGAATTTAAACTATATTTAAAAATTAATTTTAAATTAGAATTGCTTAGTGTATTTAAAATTTTTAAACTATTTATATATACTCCCATTATTTTATTTGTATATTAAATGTAAAATAAATTAAAACTTTGCAAATTTTAATTTAAATTTAAGAATTCAAGCTCAACAATCAAGTCAAATTTGAACTTCCTAAATGAGCTCGAGCTCATTTTGATTAAGTAGATACTCGACTTGTCTCAACTCGTTTACACCCTTAATAATTAATGACCACCACATTTGTAAGTTGAATGGCATCAAATTGAGGAGAAATTATTGTGTATGCAATCCGAACGTGTTCGGATGTGCATACACACTGCTTATTTTGTTGCGTATTTTTTTATACATAATTTTTTCTACGTATTTTTTTACGTGTTTTTTGTGTATTTAGTGAGTATTATTTATTTGCTACTTATTTTGCCACGAAAAAATTATGTATCAAAAAATACGCAACAAAATAAATAGTGTATGCACATTCGAACACGTTCGGATTGCGTACACAATAATTTCTCGTAAAAGAGAGACTGATCAGTTTGACTTCTAACAACACATTGAAATATAGCCAACGAACGAAGGATTTTATTGTGTCGATATTGGAGGGACAGTAGTAACTGATTGGGGATGGCATCAAAGAGCTCTTCGAAAGCTTCCAAGAGTGGGACTGTGGGTGATCATGTACTCTTTATTTATATTATAGTTTGGAATTAGAGAGCCACAATAGGACAACTCATTTTATCCACCAAGTTCATAGTTAGATAGTGACACAATTCTTTTAAGTCTGTTGGTTGGAAGTTTTGTCTATCAACTAAGATATTTTGGATTTGAATTTTGCTTGTATCATGTGTTTGATTTTGCCTTAATTGACCTAAATGTTCAAAAAAAAAAAAAAGTTAAATTGTGATTTTATGTTATGATAAGAGATATATAATGACTATTTTCATAGTTAGCAAATTCTTTTCTGCTAATATTTGAGTTTATGAAAAATAAAGTGAAATATGCATTAAGGCAGCACAAAATTCATATTTGATAATGAGTGAAAATAGCAATTTAAATTAAAAAAAAGTTCATTACTTAATTTTGCCCCTCAAAATTTCATTTGCCAAGATTTAAAAAAAAAATGCTCCAACCTTTTTAAAATGTTATGCGTTGACCTGAATATTTTGCTCTACATAAAAAAGTTTGAAATATTCTTTGGATAGCATGCGAAGATTTTTCATTTTGTACTTAATAATTTTCAACTTATTTTTAAAAAAAGTACAAAATTATTAATAACTCCTTTAAAAAAAAGTGACAATAAGTTGATACAAATTTTTTTAAAAAAAGTTACAAGTTCATACAAAGCATAAACAAAAAATTAATATAACTTAGAATAAAACAGAATTAAAGTGCAAAGATACTTTTTTTTTTTCAAGTGCTAAGATACGTATTTAGGGGTGTTGCTTGAGGCACGGGAGTACTTATTTATCAAATGCATCCGAAAACCAATAACAAAACGCCACATCACTAAAGTGCTCGATACAACGCACTCAGTACACTCGGAATGCTCAGCATTTTCACCGGATGTAATAATTTTTTGAGGCAGGGTAGTTAATTTAATTCTAATATAAAAGATCATAAAAAAAATGTTAGCAAATTTATGCGCTTTTTTTAACCTTTTTCCTTGATCAACTAAGTTCATATTATAAACATTCAATTAGAAATTTGCAATTATTTACATTAAATTTATTTTTTTTATATATTTACAAGTTAATAAATGAATCAATATTTGAGTAGAAAACAAAGATAAAGATTATATTGATAATCATTTTTCTAGCTCCTAGAGTTTTTTTGACCTTTGATCAGGGTGAAATTACTCTGTGCGGATACGGATATTATTTTTGCTGAAGCCGAATCAGATTGCACCACATCACTTTTTTGCTGTTTATCACAACTATGTACTGGATGACGTGATTCATTCTGATTCCCCTACAAAATTAAATGATCACTCTTGACAAACTTAAAAAATACATGGGGTGATTTTCTACAATAGATAAATATCATTGTGAAATGAATGGAAAATCAGACGAAAATGTAAACAAATTCATCGTATCGCTTAACTAAATCATATAATGAACGCCAATAATAGCTAATAAATGATACAAAACAGAGTAAACAACATCCTAACAGGTGAAAATAGAGAGGGAAAGGCAGAGTGTATAGAGAAGAAATAATAGAGGGGGAGGCAGCGTTGGGAAGACTGACAGTATAAACTAAATTACACCATATACAAACAAACATTTCAATTCATCATTATACACAATCCGATAAAGGAATGCTGACATCAAAACTGGATGCCACAAAGAAAAACTCCCGAAGAAAAATACAAAATCTGAGAAAATTGGAAGGAACAAATGACAAGAAAGCAGAAATGTCAATTAAGCGCCAATTGGAAGCAGCATATTAGCGATCTTCCAATTCTCAAGGCACTCTAATAGAATCTAGCCACGAATCATCTGTACAGATTCTTTTTTTCTTCTTTTTTTTTTCTAGTTTCGAGCACCCAAATCTTCAGCTGCAGAGATTTACTAGCTCCACCGACCTCTACTGTACAGTAACAAATTCAGTTGCAGGTTCATCACCATTGAATTCACAATATATGTAGAAAGCTAACTGTATCATCCACGGCAGCAATGCGATCAAACCTGAAGACCAGGCACTGCAGGTAAACTGGCACATGATAATGAACTAACCAAATCAAGCTACAAAACTTTCGACCTAGTATTCATCGCCAGATTTCCTCTGTTCTGAATGGAAATTGGCAAATATGAAGGTAGATTAAGCACAGGAGAAACGCATCATAGAATTCCATTGAGCACCCGCTGATAATAATCATATTGCCTGGTGCGCCAGGCATCTAAGCTGCTACTGATCAAGGAAAGCACCAAAGAGACGCATTGCTGTTCAAAGTATTAAGACAATGCAGTGAGGCTTAAGTAGTAAGCAAAACAAATTATTAAAGGAAAGTAAAAAGAATGACGGACCTCCTCTGTTAGGCTTAAATGAAACCGTTTCCTAAGATTTTGTATTGTCCGAGGACCCCCTTTGAAACAGGGAAAGCCCGAATCCTGAAAACAATGAGTTGATAAGCAATAATTTATATGTTTCTTTTTGATAAAGTATTATGCACAGGTAGATTAGACTTGTGATGAATATAAATGATCGTGGTCATGTAAGCAAAGTTAAGTGGAATCCACATCTACCATTGATTTAATGGGTTTTCCCCAGTTCCTTCAACTAGGGTGTGCATTATCAGGTTAAACCAAATATAAAATCTAACCAAGTCAATTAATTTGTTTAAGGGCTATTTTTTTAATTCAATTTTAAATAAAAATTTTAGCCTCCATTAGGTTCAGTTTTTGTTCATTTTCAAATTATGGTAAAACAAACTGATAATTCAATCCATAATCCAGCATGTGGATTTTTGGACTTGAATCCTGAAATTTAATCCATAATCCAAGTTTAACGATACAGCTTCGTGATAGGACCCAATTAAGTTCAGCATCCATACATTAATAATTTGGAAACAAAAACTCAGTTTGATTTTAGTTGTTAAAAAGAGTTTGGTAAGTTTAGTTTGAGATTGTTTCAACAATAACTGATCAAATCAAGCAAAGCAGTGAGATAGAACGATTCCACACCTTCAGCTTTTAATTTTTCAGGGTAAAGGTTTAAGCCAAAGTTGGGCTGTTTAAATAGTAATCTAGACGCTATGGGTTCAGATCAATGAAATGACCAGCCTGAAATTAGCAGGAGCCTTAGGCATAATGCATCCCTTTTATTCCAGTATGGGATTTACCAGGGTCGCAAAAATAAGACAGCCCCTTATCCATGTAAAAATAAAGAAAAGTTCTAAATACATTATTCATGTTGGCATTCAACACTTAGAAATATAACAACTACAACAGCATCAAATTTTCATCCCACTACGTGGGTTGGCTACATGAATCCTTCTTCTTCATTGTGTCCCGTTAAGAGTCCAATTCTCATTTCAATCTAATAACAAAATTATAATTTCTAATATTTTTAACCAAGTCTTTTTAGGTCTACCTCTAACTTTCTTAAATCAAATCTAATACATCTACCCTCTTAACTGGGTCATCAGAAGGTCGACGATTTTGCATCCAAAACATCTAAGGTGACTCTTCCTAATCTTATCTACCAATGGAGCTACTCCAATCTTTTCACGTATATACTCGTTTTGCATTCTGTCTCTAAAGAGTGAAGCCACTTATCCACCTAAGCATCCTCATCTCTACAACACTTAGCTTAATTTTATGCATCTATTTTGATGGCCATATTCCGTACCATAAAACCTTGCAGGTCTCAACACCATCTTATATAATTTTCCCTTAAGTTTGAGGAGTACTTTTCTGTCACACATTAGGCCCAATGCATTCCTCCATTTCAACCATCCAACTTGAATTCTACTAATAATATCCCCATCTATTTCACCATCATTTTAAAATAATAGACTCGAGATATCTAAAACATTTACTCTTATTAATACTTGATCGTCCAAAGTTACACTCCCCATTAGATCTATTAGTACTAAAATTACACCAATGTATTTGGTTTTAGATGCACTCAAACGAAAACCTTTAGACTCTAAGGTTGAGCTCCATAATCCAAGATTCCATTCAACTTTGTCTCTAGTCTAATCAATAAGAAGAATACCATCAACAAAAAGCATACAAAAGGATACATCCTCTTGCAAATATCTAGTAAGAACATCAAGACTAAAACAAAAAGATATGGGCTTAAAACTGATCCTTGACATAATCCAATTGAAATAGGAAAATACTTGGTCAAACCACATTGTGTTTGAACAAAAGTAACAGCTCTAGCATACATATCCTTAATGACTTGAATAGAAGCATTATTAACTCCTTTCTTTTCTAAAACTCTCCAGAGCATTTCTCTTAAACTTTATCATATGCTTTCTCTAAACCAATAAATATCATATATAAATATTCCTTATTTTCTCTATACTTCTCCATCAAACCTTTCAATAAATGTATATCCTCCATTATAGACCTACCGGACATGAATCCAAATTAATTTTCAAAAACATTAATATCATGTTGTAACATATGCTCAATAACTTTCTCCCATAGTTTCAATGTATGACACATTAACTTAATTTCTTTATAATTCACACACTCTTGTTCATCACCTTTATTCTAAAAAATAGGAATCTCCACAGTCCTCTAATCATCTAACATCTTTTTAGTCTTCAAAATAATATTAAAATTTTTTATAAGCTAAGAAATTCCTTTTATATGCTAAGCATTTCCAAACCTCTATTGGAATATTATCAGATCCAATTGCTTTCCCACGCTTCATTTTCATTAAAGCCTCTCAAACTTAAGTTTTACTAATATGAAGATAATAAAAATCTCTATTTCATTTAGGGTACTAAGGTCATTAAAGTCAATCATATTCTTACAATTTTTATTGAAAAATTTATCGAAATATCTCATCCACCTTTGTTTAATATCCTCTTATAATAAAAGCACTTTTTTAGCTTCATCCATGATTCACTTCACTTGAACTAAATCTTTAATTCTCCTATCTCTTTGCTTCAATAACTATACATATATATTTCGCCCTCCTTAGTATCTAATCTACAACATAAATCGTTAAAAGCTAAATTCTTTGCATAATATATATTACTTTCTTAGAATCCTTATGAGACTCTTTATATCATTCTCAATTTTCTTAGCTTTTAGGTCAAAACCAATTTTTATAACAAAGCTTTCTATTTTTATTTTTCTTACACATTTTGATCCCACCGCTAACTATTTTTATTATTATGAGCATTTCTTTTAAATTCTCCAAGCACATCATATACAACATTCTTAATATCACTCGCTACTTTTTCTTACATTACAATAACTTCCTCGTGTAGTCAAAATCTTAAGATCTTGAATCTTACTATCAAAAATATTTTTGTAAGTTTTCTTTAAACGCCTCTATCTAATATTAGGATAGCATTTTATTTTATTTTTCATATTCTATTGTTTCATCTTAACGTCCAAAACTAATAAGCGATGTTGAATAGATAAACTTTTGATATGAATAACTTTAAGTATTTTCAATCTAAATGATCTATTTTTCTAATAAAAAATAATTAATCTAAGTATTAATATATAAATTCTTATAAGTGATGAGATGCTCCTTCCGTTTCTTAAATACGGTATTAAAAATTACAAAATTATAAGCTAGAGCAAAACCTATTATGGTCATAACACCTTCGTTAGTCACTCCAAACTCATAGCCACCATAAATGCTTTTACAATCTTCTACCACTCTACTAACATGTCTATTTAAATCTCCTACAATAAAAACTCTTTTTTCAAAAGGTAATATTTTTTATTAAATCTTATAAATCATTCAAAAATTTTAATTTTGAAAACATATCTAATCCTACTTGAGAAATAGAAGTACTTATAATATTAATAATCTTAATATCAACAACAATCTTTAAAGCTATAATTTTATCTCCCATTCAATTATTTTTACATAAAATAATAGACCCTTAATAAGCTTCCTATTCACTTTGTTGTAAGGACAATGAGTTGAGCATGCCATTTAATTGTTTTGAAAGTGCAAATTGTAAACAAAAGTTTTAAGTTATCATGAGATTCTAAACAATGTTATGCTAAGATGCACAGACAAGAACACGACGACACGACACGGACGAGGGACAAGTCAATTATTGAAAATATAGGAATGGACACGGGTTGGATACGGTATTATAATTTTTATATCTTAAAATTAGTGTATAAAAATTGAATAGTATAATATTAAAATAATTTAGAAATAATAAATCATTTAATTAATATTTATGCTAAAAATGATTAATATTTGGATGTCGAGAGTCAGACATCAATGTCGTGTATCATGCATCGAGGGAGGAGATGACTATAGTGTGGAGAGTCAGGCATTAATGTTATGCATTAAATATTGGGCATCGATGTCGAGAGGGTGTCTATCGTCGATGTCGAGATGACATCGAACAAAGATGAATTGTCTAGTTGTGGGTGTAGCAATTGCTAGCGTCGAGCATCAATGTCAAGACAATATCAGACTTCAATATTGAGATTTTTGAAATGTCAATATTGTAATGAAGTCAAACATCAATATTGAGATGGCATCGGACATTGTTATGAAACTAAAATCGGGACCTGCCAAAGAGAAATGAAAATGAAAATATTTAATGAACGAGGTATTAAGTGTAAACAATTGATTTGGTGTTGCGGAGAGGAAATAAGAAATTTAATTTTTCTATTTTAAATAAATAAAAAATTATATTAAAAAATTCAATAAATATTTAAGAGACGCATGTCGGACATGCATGTCCAATTTGTATTTAATATTTTTTTAATCATACATGTTTTCAGTGTGTCCGACATATGTCGAAGATGTGTCAGATGCGTGTCATGTCAAATACTTCTCATACATTGCATGCCTCTTTGAAGACAACTGTTGGTGCATCATAAATGTTATGAAATTTCATGATTTCCTTTGAGATTATAAATAGAAAACAACAAGAGCAAGATGGACAGTGTATAGAGCCAGTGCATGCACAACAATTGGTTCAAATTTGCAAATCTTAATTTCACCATCCCTCCCTAAACTAAGTATTTTTCCATGTCCAGTGATACATTGGACTGATTACATTTCAGAAGTTAAAACCCAAATATTTTTTAGTTATCATACAAGTGTGCATAGAACCACTTGTTTTTAGAAGTTTGTTGTCATAGAAAATAGTTTAAGTAGAGGATTGGAATAGGGTTATGCTTCGAGTCATGTTACGTTGACGTTGTAGGACATTTGAATCCAAGACCAATTAAAACTAGGAATAAACATTTTCCAAGCTATTCCTACAAACCCAATCAAATATTTCAAGTCTGATATTTAGGATGATGACAGGGTCAACAGACATCAAGTTGGTAATGAGAATTCTTTGGATTCAAGGTATTATGAGCAATAAGAATGTACTGTATGATATTATTGATATAAGACATTCTTTGAGATATTCTTTGCATATATCTATGATGTGGATACCCATTATTATTTTAACAATTACTTGTACTGACATAATTATTAGAATGCTGCTAACCAACTCTACAAGTTGTTTAGTATTGTTTAATAATTGCTAGTTGAAAGTATGAGTTAAATTTGTGCTCGGAAAATTTTGAAATAACTGATTTTGATTGTCTTCAAGCTGGTCGACAGGAGACTCCGCAATTTTTTTCAGGTTTAGCCGATTTCTATGATGGCCATTTTTTCCCAACATTCGCACAAAACAGGCTTTATAGAGTTTTTTTTTTTTATTTGGCAAAAAAATTTAAAAATATTCATTAGAAACATAGCTAAATTTGAATCCCGGTTTACCCCTCACCCATTCCAAAGAGAAATTATATGCTTTATACTAACGACAATTAAATCTTCTATATATAATAGTTACTAATTATTTTGTTGATCTTCTATAGTCCATACTGTAATGACGTGGGATTAGAACCGTAGTCTGATTTTCTAATTTAGTTATATTTAATTGAAATATAATAGATAATTAGAAACAGTAATGTTGTACTTTAAAGTTCATTAAAATACTATATTCTTTTATCCATTTTTGTAATTTTTATATAGTTCAAATTTTTAATAACCAAATGTGCAATCAAAACCAAAGCTGAGAACCTAAACAATCAAAACCATCCAAACTAATACTTTACAATATAACCAAAACCAAATTCAAATCCTTAAAATTGGTTTCAAAGTAATCAATGTTTGCTAAAACTAGTTTAATAATGCTATAGTCCAATCAATTTTAATACACACTTACTGCTTGATAGTAGTGCCATTTTATTCAGTATATTTGATGTGATGCGAACTTGAGTTACACATGATTGAAAAGAAGATTTAAACACTAGCTCAACCAATTATATAATCATGTTTCAAATTGAATTTGGTTACAAGAATTCGTAGTGTTTAACTTTGTTTAGGCAAAGGAATTACAAGGAGAGAACCAAACTATTTAAGCAAATACAAAGGAAAACATAAAGTTAAAAGCTAGTAAATGGAATCCAACGATTAATACGGAGTTGTTCACCTTGAGGCATCTTCTCTCTTTCCTACGGAACTAGGTTGAGCGGCGGAAGATCGTCCAAGCTAGTAGTGAGGTTTCCACGAGGAGGGAGGAGCCAAGGATCGTCGCCACGGGGAAGGAGCTCGGAGGTGGAGGTGGAGGTGGCACGGAAGGACGACCTTTAATGATCCACGTGTAGACGGAAAAGTGGTCGTCGATGGAATCCACTAATGTTGGTAGAATCCGGTCCAAATATTCTTCGACGGTGTCGTCGAAATCAAAGCCTACGTCGAAGAAGGGTGATAGGAGGATGTTAACTCTTCCTTGGTTGTCGTACTCAAACCCGAAGTTCCACTCGGGTTCGTCCATGCATTCTCACAAGAGAGAACGTGTGGTCGCCGCAAGAAGATCTCCAATGGGAGGGAGAGAGGGGCGGCGGCTTGGAGAGGGGAGAGGAGGACTGGCGGTAGAGCTAGGGTGAGGGGCGGGTTTACTTGAAACCACAACTGAAGTTTAATTTCAGTTTTGATGAAATTGGGAGGGAAGAATTAGGGATTTTGAATTTCCAATTAATGTAATCAAAGCATTAAAGGAAAATCAATTAGAGAGATGCTAAGGGGGAGCCGACGGTAGGAAGGGAGGGGATTAGGAAAATAAAAACTGAAATTATCTCAGTTTTAGTATAAGTGGAGGGAAAAATATTTGGTCCTAATTTGAATTTCAAATAGGATTAAGGAGTTAATTGGGTAATTAATGGAATTCCCCATAGGGGGCCGGCGGCATGGCTAGAGAGGGAGGGAATTGGGGGAGAGAGGGAGGGAGGTTTCCAAATAGGATTTGATGACTAGGAGAGTTTGAAAATAAATCCAATTTCATATAATTTCATATTTGGATCCATTCAAAAACTTTCCATAAATAGAATTTCCAAATTTGGAAAGAAAGTGAAATTTGAAAATCAAATTTCAATGAGGAATTGGGGAAGGAGATGGGGAGAAGTGGTGGAGAGGGAGGGAGACCGGCGGCAAGGTGGCCGGCCGGCGGGACTAGGGTGGCTCCAATGGTGAAAATGCTCACGAAAAATTCGGCTCCTTCCAACGGTTGACTATTGCTTGCGGGAGATTTGGGTAGAGAAGATGAAGGTTGCATGTAACGACCTCGAGAACTCACTAAGAGATCTCTAGAAGAACTCACAAAGAGATCCAAAGAGTGGCACTCACAAAGAGAACACAAAACAAATTTTCATTCAATAATTCAATAGCTCATACATGATACAAGGGGCCATATAAATAGGCTCCAAATGAAAGTAAATGCAAAAGACTAAAATGCCCCTGGGGCTACAAGATCAAACTAATACCCACAAGGGTAAAATGGGAAAAACTGGAAAAACAACAAGTTGTGTAAGAACTGCAGATACAACAAGTCATCAGTAGTAAAGACTATCCATCATAGCCGTCGATCTCCGGTGTCGCCTCTGATAGACGCGCCGGAATCTTCTGTCGATGCCCCCATCAATATTGCATGTGACATTCCTTGTCATTCATGTCATAGCAAGTTACCGATTGAGCTAGTTCTTGGAATGGACTTCGTTCTATCAAGTTATTAATCACGCAACCTTGAGGAACGAGTCAACAGATTCACACCTCTTGCACTTAGGAAGTTGATTAATGCTATAAAGTTATTATTTGAGGTAAAAATGAGCCTGCCTCACCTATAATAGTTAGGTATCTATGCATTTTGTCTTATTGAAATTAGATGTTTATACTGGATTTTGGTGGATAAAAACATCATGGTGGACGGGCTATTATATGTTAGATTAATTGTCAATTGGCCAATTCACCCTCTCCTGTAGGGATGTTTTCCAAGTCTACTAGGCCAAGCATGCGAGCTATGACAATATCTATCTATTAAAATGCCATTTTATCCGCCTCTAACAGTACAGAATCATGTGCAAGTGGACACTAAAATGGGCTGGATTATTTTACTTATCGTCCTTCCGCATGACAATGTTTACTCAATGATTGCCTTTCTATCAGGCTTGACAAAATAAACAAGAAGCACACATGTGTACGTTAACTCATGTAGCTCTACAGATCTATATAACACAAACACCAACATAACGGTCTCATCCCTCACTAAAGATATCTCAAATAAGAGCCAACAGATAAATGAACTTATTTACCAGAAAACCTAAAATAATAAGCTTGCCAACATGCATTGATAGGCAATAGTGCGCACACCTTAAAGAATATTCTTCCTAAGCCAGTAGAAATTAGGTTACCGAAACATTTACTAGAAAACATAAAACATTGCAAAAATCCATCATGAACCAACCGATCACCAGAGACAAAAACAAATTTAAACCCGTCAAAATATTCAAACAAATTCAAAGTTGGAGGATATGAATTGGGAGAAGATAAAAGATGAAAGATGCGTAGTGAAAGATCTGTTCATAAATGAACAGGTAAATCAATAGCACATCAAGAAACCAAAATGATGTACGTTTCGTAAATTTTTTCCATAAACAAAGCAAAATAAGGGGCAAGTCAAAAAGCAATGTTAGAAAGAAATGTAACGTTCCAAGAAAACCGATTATATTACCTGTAGCATTTCAACAATGAGTATTATTTGTTCTGCATGCTTCCGGCAAGTAAGAAAGCCTTGTATGCACAGCACCTACAAGCATCAAATCTTAAAATGAAACAAGACCTAGAACATAACTTCCAGCAAGCCAGCAATCCCTGTATGCATAGAACCTAAAAATACAATATCCAAAAAAAAAAAAAGAAACAGGTTATAAAAACATAGGATAACTCACTTTGAAATAGTCAAAAAATTCACTTGGGTTCCCTTCAGCATCAGAATCCATTACCTGGCAGCAATGTCAAAACGTAAAACAAGCTGAATAAAAAGTTTTTTTTTTTTAAAAAAAAAAAAAGCTAACTGTTTAGAAAGAATAAAGCCATCACATATCCTAGAGATTTTGGTGAAAACGAAAGAGATAACAATACCACAATTTCCTCAAATATAAAATATCTGACCTCGAGAAGCTCACGAGTTAATTTAAAGGGAGCGCTCTCGAAGTTTACTCCTCCAGGGGAATTAGATAGCATAAAACCAAAATCAATATGAATGATATGACCTTCTTCATCCATAAGCAGATTTCCATTATGCCGATCCTTCACCTATATAATTGAAATAACACAATCATTACATAAAAACAGCTTATAATGAAAAAATAAAGCTCAAAATAGAAAAAATCCAAGAAAAAAAAAATATCTTAAGCAAATACAAAAAAAATAACTAGCGCCAAGAAATTGTCAAATAGAAAAAAATGGAGTATAATTTTTTTATTAATTATGATGAGAGTTCAAAACAAACAAAACAGAACCACCACACTGACAAGATATCTTTTATCACAACTGAAACAAGAAAAAAGAAAAAGATAAAAGAAAGTAATATCCTGTATATAAAACTGAACTGGTAAAATAAATTGATAACAGGAAGTATGATAATTGCAAAGCTACTATTGCATTAAGCCATTCAGAGCATATAAAATATAAGCACTACATGGTGATTACGATAGTGAAATGGAAATCAATCAATGCCATTAGATGCATGAAATTGTTTCAAAATGCAAAAAGGATATAATGGACAAAGTAGAATGACTACTAAATAGATGTGGGTAGCAGCCAATAGCCAACATGATAGAATGATGATTTTATGCCCATGTCAGCAGTGAAGTGAATTTTGAGATATTATGAAGGCAACAAACAAAGAAAACCACTAACATAACATAAAGCGCCTCAAATGTCATCTTTAAAGGTACAAACAAGGAAAAATCTACAATGAAGAAAATCACTTAAAAGCATCATACAAACGCTATGAATGGAGTGCTAAACATCAGTAAGTTTACGTCTTAGAATGCACCTACGCCTAGTAAGAACTATTTCCAAGCACTTCAGCATTGCATGTTTTCTTCCCCCACACAATTTAGTAACATTACATATCAAAATAATGCATTCAATCATTGCTTTTCAACAATCTAAGTGTCTAAACTACTGAGTACACTTTACCATACCTGAAGAAGGTAACATAAAATGGAATATCCAGCCATGCTCTCAACAAAACTTCTCTACAAAGACAATTAGATATGAATATCAAGAAACAATATTTATGGACGAGATCATTTGAATAAAAAAAATTAAATAACAAAGTTAGATCAGGATAATTATTGCATAGTAATAAGAAAAATGTATTCATACATAGAATTTCATAACACGGTCACAAAATCTCAGATAAATCAATCATAAAGAAACAAAAATCTTAACAATATATATCACTTCATCAAACATGTATTGATCAGTCAGTGACACCAATTTCTTGAACATTAATATATTCCTTGTCAAAATAATCAAACTCCAATTTTTTAATAAGCATTTAATGTACAAATATAGTCCCTTATCTGAGCTTTCCTGTCCACTTAATTTTGTTCGGATGCGGTTACTTGTTTGCCAATTCAAAATTTTGAAAAGAAAAAAAATATCACAGAAGAACAGATATTCAGTTATTTTGGGTCGGCAACTTGTCTGGCTGGATTTTCCTGCATCATTAAGCGCTTAACTTATATAAGCGTTAAGCAGAAAGCCAGCTAAAATTTCATTTGCATCTGCTATGTCCATTATATGGCTTACAATGTGTTTGATTTAACCCGCCAAACCAAGCACGACAAACAGGAGCAATGTTCTGGATGAATAATGAAATATCTTTCTAATCCTTCAGACGTCCACTGCATGTAAACAGGACTTCCTGATCTATGTCACAGATAATACAGTTAAAATCCAATACATATTTCAGTAATTTTGAATTAATATAGAATATTTCAGTACAAACAACAAAAGATTAATATTCTTACGTATATAACATAATCTTATCATTTATCATCACCATCATTACCCCTATCACCAACGATTATGTGTCAAGAGTACAGTGACTATAGCAATTATGATCATCATAAAGAAGTAATTGTTTGAAAAAAGATTAATAACAGTGCTGTAATAATTTTTTTAGAAATCTAATGAATATAAAAGGAAAAAATTATGACAGGTATTGCATGAGAAAAAGGTCATTCATTTTTTGAAGTGATAAATAAGTCATTTCATTCTTTAAGTGATAAATAAGTACAATCGCTTATTCTCAAGAATTTGAAAGATCAGCAAAATCAGTAATTGAAAAGGATAGCTTTACAACTTAGATTCGGGCACTGCCATACATAATAGTGACAAGTAGTTTTATACAATGAAATAAAATATTAATTACCTGGGCAAGCTTAAAATTTGGTGAGTTCGCTTCATATTTAGCCACAAAATAATCACGCAAGCTTGATATATGAGAAAATCTACTCTTAATAGAATGAATCGAAGCCTGCATTACAAGGAAAACATTTTTAAAAACTATGGGCCAATTAAACAATTCAATGAAATAGATTTCAGAGAGGGCAAACGATCACCGTATCAGGAATGGTCTCAATAAGGGCAGTATAAGAGGAAGTGACAATGACCTCATAAGGTCGCAACCATAATGGCAAACCAGCTTCTTGGTATATATCTAGTATCAAAATCCACAGAAGCATAAACCATTTAAAATTAAATATTACAAAGTGTCAAATACAGGAGTACATTCTGAAAGATTAAAGAATTCTGCAAGAACCTGTTAGGTATTTCCTTACTTTTTCCCTATATATATATATATATATATATATATATATATCATGAATAAAAATATAAACATTTATAGCCATGGTTGAAATAAATCCTAACTTGGGAACCCTAAGGCGTATCAAAGTCCTCTACCTTCCTTTGAAGAGGTATTTTTAGAAGTGAGAGAGAGGGAGTTTAATAATTTAGTGGGGTCAAGTGTGATCCGAGTTGAACCTTTAATTCAATGTCAACAACTTTATACCTATGCTTGAATTTACATATCTGGTGGAAAGGTCGCCATGTATGCTGACATGATATAATAGTCAAGATTTAGTCTCTTCATGCCGCAATCATTACATAGAAATTGTGGAAGCATGGATCAAAGTATCATTGATGGATGATCCAGAAAAAAAGGGAACTCAGTCCTATTTTTGAGTTTCCAGTAAAGAAGGAAAATATATCCTCAGGACAATAACTTCATAATTTCTAGTACTTCTATTCTGAGGGTTTAATCACAGTCTTCTCAATATATAAACAATTCCAAGATGCCAAAATGTAACTCTTCTCGGAGTAATAGATTAAGGTATCACAAGTTGACCCATGAATGTGATGCATCAATATTTGATCCTTTGAGATTGTCATTTCAACTTGTTCTTGCATGTAGAAACTTACTCTACTGTTGAACGAAAGATGATCCCTTGATGTTGAATAAGCCATCTTGAGTAGATAGTCCAAGCTTTAGATTGAATCCTCCTTATAATGATTTGAGCGTTGTCAAGTCACATCATACAGATGCATAAGTTGACAATAAAACTGCAGTGCAAACCAAATAGGTTTATGAAGGGATCAAATCCTCAATGGATTGAATCAGTCGTAGCGCAAATGCAAATGAGTAAGACCAAGACACAACACAGATGAATCCGAGTTGATGTATCAGTCAAATCCTCTTTGGATTAATTTGAAGCTTTCATGATCAATTAGATCCCTGCCCAGGAGTAAAAGTCTAACAAGGCTGTAAAATCAAGTCACAAACATGCGCATACAAGTTGATGTGTGAGAATGAATCATCCTTGAATTGGTTTTACCTTTTAAGGCCAACGTAACATACTGCCCAATAATATAAGTCATAAAACCCATCATACCATTTGCCCTTGAATTGTAGGAGTTTTTGTAATAAAGATGATACGAATGAGATTCCCTTTAATTACAATCACTCCCTCCGCTCAGGGTTGCAATTTATAAGGAATTGCAAACAATTGCTATGGTATGAGGTCTTTAGGTCTTTAAAATGAAGTCTGCGATACTAGTCCTTAGCATTCTTCTCATTTCTTTGCACAAAAGAAAATCTCTACTAGTCCTTCATGGGGTAGAAAGCTTATTAAAAGTGATAAAGCCTTGTTGATTGTGTAGATGCCTAGATGGTATATGTCAAGGCAATAGTATTAATATTGTGATCAATCAAGAAGTGGCCGCTAGAGTTGTTTGTTGAGATGTAATCAACATGTATGAGGATTTGCAAAAGAGGTGTAAGTAACACAACTAATTTAGGCAACGAAGCTACAAAATGAAAAAGTTGTATAAAGATGAATGAAAAAGTTGTATAAAGATGAAAGCTTGTCATTTGCCTTCACAATAGTTGTGGAATTTCTCTTCTGTTTTAAATATTTATAGTCAAGGAGGACTGAGTAGTACAAATGTGTATGTGATGATGTTGACTAAGGAAAAGGTATTAAATTTGTATGGAATAATGAACAATGATGTCAATTCAAGAGCAGGCATCAAAGCTGTATTAAGAGATGCATATAATGATGCTAGTTGAGGAGCATGCATAGAAGACGATAAATCCATATCTTTGATGTCCTTTGAAGATTGATGATAGGTTGGGCAAAAGAACAATATTATTAAAAGCATTAAATACCTCAAGACAATATGAATGTCTAATGCCTGGGTGCTAAGCATTGTCCTCAGAAAAGGGCCTAAGATGTTCAAATATTTTAGCTATGTGAAATACTATTGGAATGCATAATATGATAAACATGGCTACAATAAAGTATGTAAAAAAAAATATTTTTAATTTTTATTTCTTCTAAATGCCAAAATGACAACATTGTCACCATCTTTTCACAATCACTAGGATCTAAAAGCTTCCAGCACTTCTTCCATCTCCTATTCTTATCTTCAACATCATCAAAATTTGGTATAATATAACTAGAAACGTTTTTATATATATTTGATATGAAATGCTTCTTAAAGCACGCCTTTCTTCTCTAAATCCTGAAACTCTTACTAGATCAACATGTATCAAATATTCATCGTCAATCACCAATTTATTATTGAAATCTGAGATATTAGCACTCATTTCCCCAATCATCCACTTAGTACTATCATCAGTATCACCAAGAGAGAATGGATCAATGACATTTCCATATCTCATGACTCGTTTTAAGAGCTTGATTTTACTTCATACAAACTATATCATGCAATTTTTTATGATCTAATATGTATCTAAAAGGGACTGTTGGAATTCCAAACATCTATCATATTTATTACTTTTATACAGGGAGGATTAATTGAGCGGAATTACTAAAGGTTATGAATTCAAGCGGTATAGTCCTTGGTTTCTATTCAATAAAAATCGTGTACCAATCTCAATGGATGTAGGTATGATGAATATCTCCAGATAAAAATAGATATGATATATGTAGATTTGTCCTCACCTTCTATATATATATATATACTGATTTTGAAATAATTAAAATAAAAAGTGAGTGGAACAGAGAGCAACATCACTCATCTCTATCCTTACTAGCAGTGGTAAACTATCTCAATTTGGCGCAAATAAATTGGTGCCAAAATGTCAGTGCAAGAAAACTGGTGTTGAAGACAAACACAATAATGCCGAAGCCAACTTCATTGGTGCCAGAAAATATCATGCTGTTGCAAACGAGTATTATTACTCTAGGTGATTGATATCTTCTCCTCTAAGCCTCTTGGTTCATTTTCTTATTCTTCATTATTCTCCCAGTACATAAATGATTGTGCAATAAAATCTAATGTACTCTTCTCAATTACAATAGAAATTTCTCTATTGAGATTAGGAGCACAACAATCTCACCAAACGACAAATATATTTCTATTCTATTTTAGGTTTTTTACAGTTTTATTTTCATCATCACTATTGCTTTCATACAATTATTTTATCCTCACAAATGCATCAATGAATATACAATATGTTAAAGTGGTGAACGTTGTACCTAATATAATTTTAACAGTTGTCCAAAAGATGTCTCCTAAATCTTTTATAGGAAAATTTAGAAATATGTGCCAGGTTAAGTGGTATGTCTAACCAGATGTTCTAGTGTCCAAATGTCCCGAGTATTAGGCTTAAAATAAGAGCCCTCTTGAGTGTTTTTAACTTTATATGGCCATTCTCAATTTTCAACCACCTCAAACAAACCAACACTCCACCTTTAATAACATTCAACGTTTGTAAAGTAGCTGATACCCAATCAAAATCTCATTAAAGTATGAAAAACGAAAAAATAAGGAAGAGGTTCACTTGAGATTGGTGTTACTTCTAGATCCAGGAAAATTCGGAAAATATTTTCCATAAGGATTGTAAGGTTTTTGTTCCAGAAGAAGATCGTATTAGGCAAATATCATGAGAATTCAAATAAAAGAAGATTTCAATTAATAAGGAAAATTAATCTAAAAATGAAAGATGAACAGTCTGGACAGGTAGAAATGAGCCACAATTTGCAACATCCTTAGCTTTTAAGAATGATTAACCTCAAAAAGAAAACAGAACAGTATAACAGCTACCATAGAAATGAGCAACCAGTTGCACTGCTAGATGCTCCTGTCTACAATCATCACCACTCTTAACAATAACCTGTTTGGAAAAGTATAATTAATAAGTAGCTTAATGCAGTATTAGAATCATTAGAAGCCAATCAAGACTTGCATTTCTTCGTCAAGCATTTAACAAATATATTCTGTATCAATACTACTGTCATGTTTAGGTATACACAATTAAAAGATATTTTGAACAAACCATCATGTGGCCACCACTAGAACATTATAAGCAAAGTCAACAAAACCCACCACCATGGTTACCGAACAACATATAAACTTTAGGTAAGAAAATGCAAAGAAGAATTCCAATGAATGAGGCCAGTATACTTATCACTCATTAATTAACAATTTAGCATACTTGGATGATAGAAAGTAGAGAAAATAGGGAAAGAAGCATCAAACATATATTGGAAATTAATATAGGATCTTAGGAGTATTATGGGATGAGAAATTATAATACCTCTAAAGCATGGAAATTAAAAATCAGTGTCGAATAAGCACAAAAATAATAACAAAATACATCAAGCAAGGTGAATCAAGATTTTCTTCTTCCACAAGACTTCATCTCATAATTATATTGAGACGATGATGTGAAACATGCAGCCAACAGATGGTCAATAAACACTTTTAAGTCCATAATTCTACTGGATAGGTAGGAGTTATCATTAAAAATCACACCTTTACCTCAGCAGACTGCATAAAATTTTGAATAAGTGAGAAACAAGGAAGTCCAAGCTAATTTTCTTATTCAATATTAATCTCTTCAAAAAGGTACTCTACTAAAACGATGCATGGAACACATCCAATATAACTCAGTTGGTAAAGCAGACAACCAAATATCCTCATGCCACTTGTTTAAATCGAGTTCCTGGTTAATGTATATGATAGCCGTCATAACCCATAAATTGCATTTCATTGAGATGAGTCGGGCAACTAAATAAACAAGATTAAAAATGTATGCTGGATCAATCAGGCGCACTTATCATATCCCAACTCAAATTAGCAAGCATATCAATTTCCATTCAGATTAAACTTGTTCAGTCAAGATGGAGGGGATGAAATTGGAATGAAGGTCAGCCACTTCGAATGGCAGCATTGCTCTTGGAGATTTATACCTTATAATAATAAAATGGCAATTCAATCTCTATTGTTCATTCACAGACTGAGTGATAGAACAGTACTACACGGATGGCCTAATTTTTTAAGTTAGCGAATCAGAATATCATCAATGAAATCCTAGGAATTTTCTCTTCAAAGAATAGCAGTTGGAAGGCATTTTCCACTTGTGTTATGCAAGAAATAATACAACCACTCCCCCCCCCCCAAAAAAAAAAAAAAAAAAAAAAAAAAAAAAAAAAGATGTAGAATCTTATACTTGTGGGAAATTTAAATTTCTCAATATCTATATATCACATTAAATATCTAATCTCCAATATAAACTTATAAATTTAAGATATTCAGTCATAAATAAGTTGTTTAGACTAATTATAAAACACTAAAAGTAAAAATAAAAGGAAGTCCAGACCATAAGAGAATACAACATTCACTGAACTTGTAACGGAATTAGTTATTCACCAACAAGTAGGAACCAAATTTCTTCCTCCTAGCTCTTGACTTACGCACACCTAAACTCCTCAGTAATACTCCTTACAGAAATTGTGTTAAGGAAATAAACTTGAGTCTACCTCCTATTTATAATATGGAATTCAAATTATTTGCGGACCTCGCCACTTAGGATCTCTTTGCTAAAGGACAGGGAATGTACAACTGCAAGCCCCGCCAACCTAGGATCCCTTCGCTAAAAGAAAGATAAAGTACATCTAAGAGCACCACCATATTAGGATTCATATTTAAAATGTGTTAAGATCCTTTTTCAAGGATCCGACCTTGGATCCACTGGTATTCAACAACGGGTGAAATATGAGCGTAAATACACTTGAATACGGGCGGTAATTATCATAAAAAGGAGATGGATAAAAGTAAAAACTATTTACCTTCCCTATGAAAGTATATTTACATTAATTGTTAGCACATAGGAATCCCCACATATCATCGATAATTATTCTAGTTAAACGGTTCATAATAAAGTGAGAATCGTCCATCACATTGCAAGTCACAGGTGCACAAGTGCTTTAGATGGCATGCATGCCAGCTATTAAAGTTAGACAGCTCATATGTCCTATAAACATCTGTCTTAAAAAAAACAAAACAAAACAAAATAGTGCACTGTTACTTGTCACGAGTTGTATGACCCTTCATCAAAATGTGCATGACGCATCAAAATTATTGAAGGGTGTCAGCAATGAGCCCTTACCCCTATTGTATAATGCACATGTATCAAATACATACAAACGCATCGAGTGACACAAATGCACACATATGAGCGCACTAAGAAACCTGCACACATGCTGTTGATCATGCAAACTACTTCCTAAATAAACTAATGATCATGTCATTATGCAAGTGCATCGAAATTCATGCAGGTGTGTCACACAAACACACTAAGTAAAATATGTTAGTGCACTGCATGAATGCACTATTCAAATGCAAGTGTATTTTACGCACATGTTTAACATGTAAATGCATATCCAAATACAAAAGTGTGCATACAAATATAAAAATGCATATGTAAGCAAACATATATGCAAATATATTATGCATCATTTATGCATGTGTCATATCAATTCTCCATATGCATTGTGTCAGCTATGCAAATGCATTATTTCAATCATACAACAATCATATAAGTGCATAATGCACATCATAAATATATATCACTCATGCTATGTAAATGCATTGTTCAAATCATGAAGCACGCAAAAATGCAGATACATCATACACATCAGATGTGTCATATGCAAAATGCACTCAAAAGCATGGTGCTACATCATGGAACCCGACAAGCGTAACATACACATGAGGTACGAGGATGTTGCGCAGATTAAAAAGTAATGAGTGTTAAAGCTTGTAAGCATACACTAAACATTAATACAAATGTGCATACGTAAGTATAGGCACTCAAATGTAAATACCTGTATGGACCCGGCAAGCATATTATTAGTACACACGTGACGTCTAGGAATGCTGCATGGGTCAAGAAATAAACTTAAGTTCGAGCCCGATCCTTCTATGTGACGGGATAGAAGTCGACACAACTTGAACAGTTAAACAGACATACAGTCGTGATATCGACAAGTATATTTGATTAATACGTTCATATTGGATCTTCAAGGCTTTTGATAAGAAATAATCATCGATAAAATATACAACCGACAAAGAACTCAATCCTCTGACAGCAAATCGATACCCGTTGATAACCGTGTTGAACGTAGATCTCAACCGGAGGGATCAATTCTAATATTCAAATGCCTCCCAAACTGATAAAAATATGAACATTTGAAGTGATTTCAAAATCACCCCGATGATGAATGTGTTGAACAGAAAATCTGAACCAAAGGGGTTAGTTCCAAATGTTCAAAATGTTTTTTAGAGGCCCATAAAAATTCAAAATTCCAAAAGTTTCCAATGTTCAAAACTCAAAACTCCAAAAACTACCAAAATCCAAAATATTTAAAATCAAAATTTAGCCATCAAACACTCAAAGCAAACACCATCCGCCCTCCACAATAGTTTATCGAGGTGGAAAATTTTGAAAATAACTTTAGCTCACAAAGAGCTAATGTATGGTCAAGAATATCATCAGGATTCATTCTCAAGCAGTCTCCAGCCAGTGGGGATGTAGCAGGTGTCCTCTAACCGGCGTTTTTGCCGCCAAATGACATTGCAAGATAAACGGTTATGATCGGGGATCTTTGAACCAGGTGGTTTGACGCCAAATGGTACCACCAAATTACAGTTATGGCCAGAGCCCGTATGCACCCCAACGGCATCAAACCCTTGAGATATGAATCAATAGAATATAATCGATAGGGCACAAAGCTCTTTGTTAGCTAAGGTAGATTTAAATTTGTACCCTTAGACAAACACCTACCTCAGGTCTATAAGGTACCCTTGGACGAAGCAACCGATGGCTGCCGACAAGAATCTTTTGTCAGATTGGGTCGACTACCCCCTTTGACTAAGTAGACCAGAGACCACGATGGCCCGAGACAATGGAACTATGGGATCTTAATCGAGTTCATCATCCATTCCCCCACCATCCGCTTCAAGTACGGGATGGTGAAATTTCTTATTCCTCAAGCCCATGCTGCTACTATATGTCAGATACTATGTATTTATATGCATCTATTTAACGATTAACCTTAATCAAAAGTTCTCTCTTGTTATCAAGAGGGGTTATTAACTATAGGGGCTTGCGCCTATAGTAAACCTAAACTCAAATCATAAAGACCTCGCAAAATGAGGGTGAAATCTCTGGGTAGTGTCTTATTTCAAACCCAATCTACTTTCTGAAAATTTACCTAGGAACTTAATCTATTAAAACTCCCCCAAGAGAGGGCTTAACTTGAAAGTAAATGTCTAGGGAGAACATCAATGATTCAAGCAAAAAGATACGGGCTTAAGGCTGATCCTTGATGTAAATCAACTGAAATAGGAAAATACTTAGTCAAACCACCTTGTGTTTGAACACAATTAATAACTCCTGCATACATATCTTTAATGATTTGAATGTAAGCATTATTAATTCCTTTCTTTTCAAAAACTTTTCATAGCACTTCTCTTGGAACTTTATCATATGCTTGCTATAATCAATAAATATCAAATGTAGTTCCTCCTTATTCTCTCTATATTTCTCCATCAAATCTCTCAATAAATGTATGGCTTCCATAGTAGACCTACCTGTCATGAATCCAAATAGATTTTGAGAAACATTAGTATCATGCCGCAACATACGCTCCATAACTCACTCCCATAGTTTTAAAGTATGACACATTAACTTAATTCCTCTAAAATTCGCACAATCTTGTGCATCACCTTTATTCTTAAAAATAGAAATTAATAAATTCATTCTTCACTCATCTAGCATCTTTATAGTCTTCAAAACAGTATTAAAAAGTTTAGTAAGCCAAGAAATTCCTACATCTCCTAAGCTTTTCCACACCTCTATTGGAATATCATCAGGTCCAACAACTTTTCCACACTTCATTTTCTTTGAAGCCTCTATAACTTTGGTTTTACTTATACGCCGATAAAAACATAAATCTTTACTTTCATTTAGGGTGCTAAGGTTACTAAAGTCAATCGTATTTTCACATTCTTCATTAAAAAGTTTAGCAAAATATCTATCCATATTTGTTGAATATCATCTTATAAGAAAAGAACTTTTTGATCTTCATCCATAATACATTTCACCAATGTTTAAAATTGCGTATTCGGGTATTGAGGCGTTTTTGATTCGTGAGGCAATGTGTAAGCCTCAAGGCGTTTTGAGGTGTAAGCCTCAAAATCAAAAGATTGCGTAAACATAAATGATAAATTTTTTATATACTAATGAGTGAATAATATAAAACATAAAAAAATATAAGATATGAAGTGAAATCAAAATATCTTAATAATAAGACAACATGAAATATAGGTCAACTCAAAATTCTATCTTTCCCAAATCCCAGTATTCTTTTCATTAACATATAATTCCAATTTTCAAAAATAAATAGCAATGACATATCACATAAGAACTCATAAGTCATCAACACTGTCATCACTAAGGGGTTATTCATTTGAATCATCATTATGATGAACTGCTCTCTCCCCTTTCTCCTCTCCTATAGAGTCCAATGTCGAGCATTTACTTCAAGTTTTATGTAAGTTTTAATATATATAGCGTGAGACGTAAGCCTCATGCTAGTGAGGTGAGGCGGGCTTCAAGGCGGACCTCAACCAAGTTGAGGTGCAAGCCTCATAAAAAAAAACTCGAGGCGTAAGCATCGAGGCATTTTTTATTGGAATTACGTAAAGGCGGACCTCAAGGCGAGCCTCATATTGCGCAATTTTAAACCATGCATTTCACTTGAACTAAATCATTACTACTATTATATCTTTGTTTGGCTAACTTATACATATATCTTTCTCTCTCCTTAGTTACATGATGAAATAAGAAATAATTTATAATCTCAAAAGATGGTGTTGAAGTTGAATACATGGCATTTAGTATTTATCGATGAATGAGATTAAAAAGATTATTGGAAGAACTAAATTATCAAGTTAAAAAAATCTCTAAAATTATATTGTGACAATCATGTTATCATGAACATCGGAAAAAAACCTACACAATGATTGAATTAAACAAATTGATATAGACAGATATTTCATACAATAACAATAACACAACATCAAACCTTTATCCCCCTACATGGGGTCAACTACATGAATCATTTTTCTCCATTCTATCTTGTTAAAGAGTCAAATTCTCATGTAAATCTAATAAAATAGGACATTTCTAATATTTGCTAACCAAGTTTACCTCTGCCTCTCTTAACATAGGCGAAATCTAATTCATCTACTCACCTAACCAGTTCAAAGAAAGCCGATATTTTATGTGACCAACCCATCTAAGGCTACTCCAACCATTCACATATATTCTAATTTCGCATTCTTTCTCTAAGAGTAAATTATTTTCCAATAAAACTGCAAACATATTCACAACAGCTACACCAAAAAACGAGTTTTGATAATTTAGTGAACTTGTGTATGATTAACATATATAACCCAATTTGAAAAGTGGTTAAATAATTTAATCATTTATGTAATATAGTTAACTGTGGTTTCAATTAAAGATTAGCTTCCACATTTGTTTCTTTCCTTAATAGTTGTTTCCCCACTCATTTATGTACAACTTCTCATCTTTTTTTACACAAAATAAATGAATAAAATTAATCCTTAAACTGTTCAACTTTATACACTCCTCTCTTCTCCCTTTAATTGTCAAAAATATTTATATAAATTGAGAGCAGGATAAAAATAAGAATGTTAAGATTTAAGCTAAAAAATTAGAATTGATGGGTCAAAAAATGATTATATTAGAGGAAAGATAAAAGTTACATCTTTAAGAGATAATACAATTATAAATAAAATTTAGTCTGGATATGTTTGACGAATGGTGAAAAATGCAGTCATTTAGGATTAGGAATGAGGAAGGGGAACATAAGATAATAAGGACAAAAGTTGTTAAAATGATTTGTGAAGAATAAGTTTAATAACATAGGAAAAGCTCTATAAATAAATAAAAAAGAGAAATAAAAAGCCTATAATTACAAAATACCTTATTTTTTATTCATATAAAAAATAAGGTAACAACCTAATGGAATTGAAACTTAAAACAGACAGCATAATTTCCTGGGGCTTACCATACTAACATCTACCAGTCAGAATACATACAACTCAAAGGACTCATAATCTAAATGAACTTACCTGTTTGCTTGTCCTAAATAAAAAATGCACTGGATATAAGCTACTATATGGTGATTATCTTTTTGGAAACAGAGATAACGATTAAAAAATAAAATATCTAGATGTTCAAGACGCTCATCGACAAGATGAAATAAAGGAGACCCGCATAAATTTACAGCCCTTTCAAAACGCTTTATGATTCGATTGGGAGGGTAGAAGCAGCCAAGATAGCTCTATCCCTGCGTTCACTCCCAAACCACCTGAAGATCCATGTATGTAATGTTTACGACAGGGGGACCTAGCAGCCTGCCTACAGCCACGTGTCTGGGGCGGCAGCATCATGTGTGAGCTGCCTCCCCAAACAAAGCATATAATTACAATTCTATTCCTCCTTGTGATTCACTGTGCAGCAGCTCATACAACAACAACAACAACAACAACATCAAGCCTTTATCCCACTACGTGGGGTCGCCTACATGAATCCTTTTTCTCCATTGTGTACTATTAAAGGTCAAATTCTCTTTTAAATCTAATAAAGAAAGGTCATTCCTAATATTTTCTAACCAGGTCTTTTTAGGTCTGTCTCTACCTTTCTTAACATAAGTCAAATATAATACCTCTACTCTCCTAACTGGGTCATTGGAAGGCCGCCGTTTTATGTGATCAAACCATCTAAGGTGACTCTGTCTAATCTTATCTTCTACTGGAGCTACTCCAACCTTTTCACGTATATGCTCATTTCGTATCCTATCTCTAAGGTTAAAGCCACTCATCCACCTGAGCATCCTCATCTCTGCCACACTTAACTTAATATTATGCTTCTCTTTTAATGGCCAACATTCAGCACCATAAAGCATTGCAGGCCTCACTACCATATTATAGAATTTTCCCTGAAGTTTGAGGGGTACTTTTCTATCACACAACAAGTCCGATGCATTCCTCCACTTCAACCATCCAACTTGAATTCATAATAGAGATCGAATCTGGGCCTAGAGAACTAAGGAGAATCTGTATCAGATTCTGCTTGAGCACCCATAATTTGAATACACCATAACGAGAAATTTCAAGGAAACAACTTACAGAGCGCAAGTCCCAACCAGAAACTTTCCCGTATGGAGACAACTTGCGTATCCTTTCTTTCTTAACCTCCCACAATTCACCAGATAATGCATCACTTGGCTTAGGAACTCCATTTGTTGCCTGTCAAGAAAGAATAATTATAGTCAGAGTGATGCTAAATTAGTTTTGTCATAGAAAAACCACGTAGAAAAAACCTTCACCTTTGACTGCTGATCAGGTGAATTTTGACCAGCACCCTTTAGGTGGACTCCAGGAGGTGCCTGACCACAGGCAGCTTTTGCCTGCGAGACAAAAAAAAGGACATTTTTTTTTTCAGAATTAGTGGCATATAAATATGCTTAAGAGGATATTGACGCACCATTAAAATAACTATTTGGAAGCATTTTAAATGTAGAATTGCAATAATAGTAATATAGCACCAAAAATTGGCATTAATTACTAGATATATAATTCCATCTCACTTACAGGCCCACCTTTACTTCCTCAATGGCAATCGTGCTGGGAACGCGACGATGTTCCTTGCGACGGGGTGCTTCTTGATCAACTACATCTTTCATTTTAACCCCCGGAATGGCTGATAAATTTACTATTACCCTTTCCACGTTTTCATCATTTCCAAATTCCTTATTCAGATCCCCGTTAGAAATATGATGATTTTTTTCACGATGTCTTGACATGACAGCCTTTTGATCCTCAACGGATAGGCTAACATGGACAATTTTTACTTTAGCTTCCCATAATTGAGCCATAACCTGGTCAATAGCTTGTGATGTATTTTTCAACATTCTATCAGTATCAAAATGATGTGCTGGATGTTGGCTCCAAAGAGGATATGCCCATGGAGGAGGCTTCGGTGACTGCAGATCTCCATTTGCCAAAGGAATTATTCCTCTAGAGAGCTTTTGAACATCAGAAGTCGCCTTTGTTTGGCTGATCAGGGAAAAAGAAAAGAATGCCAATATGGTTAAGAAGTCTATATCAAACATGCTTTTGATTGAACCCACTAGACAAATGACAAGGGGATGCTACAGAAAGAAATCAAAACAATATAAATGATGAACAACGAATAGATATGTCAATAACTTTCATACCAGGGTGATTCACATTTCAAAACTTCAACACATATTAGATAAGGCGCCTTCTCCCTGGAATTAAGAAGGACAGCTTCATCCTCTGGTATTTGAACAACACGATACATCCCCTTCCCCATAGGAAAGCAAAGTCCTACAATTAAATTATGTAAAAGATAAAATATATTGACAAATTTCATTCTTTTTGAAAAGGAGATAAACCACATAATCACCTATCATGACAATAAAAATAAAGTGAGGAATTCTCCGCATCTCCACTAGAGTGGGAATCTACATTATCAAATGGCCAAAGGATAAAAATGCAGATAAAACTCACAACGATTGGACAAAAATAAAGAAGGTAAGAACAAGTGTGGCAAAGAAATTGAAATCAAACATAACACCAAATGCATTCTTGAGAAGCTTAACTAGCAAAGAATTCATAAAAGATGATAGTTGATGATGATTTCAGTGGTGCAAAAGTAATGAAGAAATAATATTCTGGAATTCTATAAAGAACAATGTTATGGGGCCGGGCATATGACTATAACCTAGTGTCAGACTGATAAATCCCCTGAGCAGATCTATATCCATCCAATTTTAACCTAGTAAATGCTTCTAGCATGAGCTACGGTGACGAGCAAATAGATTCTCTACCAATTCTGTCTTCATAAAGATTATTAAATAAAAGAGACTAATCAATTTTCCCTCATTAAAACACCACAAATTTGAAAATGAAGCATAGAATTACAATTTCATATACTCCAACACAACCATAAACAGACTCAAATCAAGTTTAACTGTTGTCATTCAAAGATTAAGATAGCATGCAAGTAGAAAATACTAGTATATATTCATGTCTACATTAAGATAGATTTATATATATGATAATGACTAATAACTACAATAAATCAAGCTATTTACTAGCACACTGCAATATAGAGGCTAAACTTCATTGAAAAAATACATCACCTATTACAAAGTAGATATTGATGTGGCTAATCAAAATTGACCAACAATCACATCTCAAAATGAGTTCAAGAATTTGTCCGCAATAAGTGTTTGAGCTCACCTTCAAAGTGGTAAGAAAATGAGCTACATTGTTATTTGTTAGATCGTTCAAAGTCGCATGTCCTTACCATATAAAAATGGAAACAATGTAATTCAAATAATGAAAAATATATCACACAATATAATAATCATTAGTTTCACGAAAAAACCTAGTAAGGAAAGTTTGAAAAACTTGCAAACTCCAGAATGCATTTCTAGGAAACCAAGTCTGATTTACATTAACTTGTCTCAGTTGAAAGGTATGAATAAACTAACGGCGATCAATCAAGTACCAAAACAAGCCTTGGCAAACCAAATCAACCCCCTAACAAGCCAGAATAGGCCAATTTGACACCTATACAAACTTGATCCAACATGGGGTCTGTCAGCACATGGTTCGACATTATCTTTCTTTTTACATTGCCAATTGATGATTTTATGAAACTAGTATTATCCCTGTGCCACTTGTCATAACCCCACACGTAGCATGGAGTGTTGGTTGCTGATGATCAAGTAGCTACTTTTTTTTAGCCCTCTCAATTGAAAACTATGATGGAGTAGATAAAGCTTTGTTGATCATCATATCACTTAACTATATCACCTCACCACCACATCATACCGCCACACCACTATTATAAGCCATCACTGCCATAAACACCGAATGGTCTCTAAGCTTTCCAAAAGGCCAAGAAGAAAGAGATTGTTAGTGAGTTGGAATTGTTGCCTCGATCACCTCCATCACATATTATCACCCTAATGAAATCTATCACAACTCAATCCCACTCAAATAAGCCGAACAAAATAGGCCATGACAACTCAACTAAACCAGTCGAATTAAACATGTTTAGCTCAATTTGACCAAATCAACTCGCCAATTTGTCTAGAAGGAAAGGTCTCCATCATGCATCTAGAGCTAATTACTTGACTTTATTCACAACCTCTCAGCTTAAACTATTAAAAAGAAGAATAGTGCAGAAGAAAAGTATTAATCAAAAGGAAAATCAAATGAATTAAACATAAGAAAGAGAAACTCATGTTCTACTAAAACTAGCAAAAGTAAATAAATAGTTAATATAATACATTTGAATAGGAGCACAAAAAGTCAACAAAATCCAACATTAATTAATACAAAAAATTAGCCATCACGCTAACTGCACAATATACTACTAGCTAATAATAAAACTAATGCCGGTAAACCTCACACTAATCATCTTTTCTGGCTGTAAATATCAAGGTTGGTATTACATCAAGGAGTAATTAACATAAAAGTTGGTTAAAGTTATCAAAAGGACCAAGTGAGGTTTTGGTTATAACAAGATCAACTCGAGTTATCAAGAAACATGATTGACAAAGCACAAAGCTACTCGGCCTCAAGGCAATTAAGTTTATTATGCAAGTACAACCATTTAAGCCATCCTACATGCAATTCAAACTATCCCTTATTTGTCGTGTTGTTTCTCTTATTAACTTTATCAACACCCTGTTGAGATCACAAGACAATTAAGGCTGTACAAATAACCACACAACATCAACAAATATATTCATGTCAATGATTGCATAGTCTACCAAGATCGAGATCATATATCACCAATAAATTTATAAATTTTGAAAATTACACAACATTGATATCATTCTTCAGTGGTCTACATTAAACATTTTGCTTCCACTGACATTGAATTTAATGCAGCTGACATGATTATACACTACATTGAAAATTTGACCACCATTAGAAGCCCTAGGGCATGCCGTAGGAAAAAACTAACATTAGGACATATCAACGCCTATATCTTAGATGCCAAATACCATCTTATGTATCCTACATTGACAAACCACTTCCCCGTCTAGTACACCGATAATTTTTTTTCATCTACTCTTTAGTGACAGACGTCATGGAACACAACCAGCAAAGGAGCATGATTCAAATGAGGAAGGGGGAGCACCAGCCCCTAAGGCACTAACATATGTGGCACCAGAACTAGCAGCAACTCCTGCCTTCCCGCCAGCACCTCCTAATTCTTTGATAGAGCATCTTGATCGATTATAGATGCAATTGGAAACCAACATTCAGGAGTCTACTACATGCTGGGAGTAGTTACATGAGCAGATCCAGCAGCAGCACGAGGCCAATCATGCATGGTTCACATAGTAGTCACCTTACTACACCATTACTTTCAGCCACCACTACCACCACCAGATTAGGGCCCGTTTGACAAGTGTTGTATGTAGCTTGTGATGTTTTGTATTTTGCTTTTATGGTACTTTGTTTTCTCATCTTTTGCTTTCCATTGTTGTAATGTTCCTCTTTGTGATAATGTCAAAATGAAGCAATGTTTACTTTGGAAGAATGGGATAGAAGTTCAAGAAATAAGTAAAGATGTTATAAAAGATAATTCTTTCTGGCTAAGTATAAATTATGCTATGAACATTACAAGACATGTAATTAAGGTGCTAAGCATGGTTGATGATGACAAGGTCACAACTATGAGAATTATTTATTAAGCAATAAATAAGGTTAAAGAAGACACAAGAGATATGGGTAGTCAAGAAGGTGCCCATAAAGAAATTTGAGAAATTATAAATGAAAAGTGGAATTGTCAATTACCAACACTTAAATGTCATATTATTTGAACCCTCAATTTCATTATGATAAGAACTTTAGAGTTGATAAAGAGATTAAATTGATTTATATGCATGCATAGATAAGCTTGTTTCTAGAAGGGGCTACCTCAAAGTAAAATGATCAACTTGATGATTTTCATTTGAAAAATGAAATATTTGGATTTAGAGCAACTCAAGCATATTACAAAACATATTCTCCTGTTATATTTGCACATTTATAATTTTAAATTTGAATGTTTATGTTCAAACTTCTTATTTGTATATATATTCATGGTATACTTTTCATTTTAATGTAGAACGTTGATGTACTCAATTTGGAGATAATATTCTCTAGTTAAAAACATTTGCTATTAAAATTCTTAGCTTAACATGTTCGGCTTCTGCATGTGAGCATAATTAGAGCGCATTCAATTAAATTCATACAAAGAGAAGGAATTGATTGACAATAGGACAAATAAACAAACTTATTATGTTTGTTTAACAAAAAATTGAAAAACAAACATCTCAAATTACAGAAACAAAGAACTGATGACGATGAATCAGATCATTTATTTATTGATGATTTACAATCTGATAATGATTAGATTACTGCTAAGAGTGTTGATATTCTTGAAGTTGAAGTTGAAGGAGAAACTTAAATAAATGTGAAGAATAAAGCAACCACTGTGGACATTAAAAAGTTTATTGAATTGGGATCAGCTCTACTTCACAAGTATATAAAAGAAAGAAATAAAATTCGATTGGAGCTACAAAAAAATCCACTTAAATATATGAATTATTTTTTATACAACAACAACATCAAGCCTTTACTCCACTAAATAGGGTCGGCTATATGAATCTTTTTTCTCCATTATGTCTGATTAAGAGTCAAATTCTCATTTAGATCTAATAAAGAAATGTCACTTCTAATATTTTCTAACCAAGTCTTTTTAGATCTACCTCTACCTTTCTTAACATAGGTTAAATATAATACATCAACTCTCCTAACTGGGTCATCGGAAGGCCGTCATTTTATGTGACCAATCCAACTAAGGCAACTCTCTCTAATCTTATATGCCACTGGAGCTACTCCAACCTTTTCACATATATGCTCATTTTGAATCCTGTCACTAAGAGTAAAGCCACTCATCCACTTGAGCATCCTCATCTTTGCAACACTTAACTTATTATTATGATATTAATTTATTATTTTATTTTAAAATACAACTAATGAAATGTCAATTGATATAGGAGATTAAAAAATATATATTATAGTTGAGGAAGATTTTGAAGATGACTTTGATATAAATTATGAGGATTCTCTTGAAGATTATCAAAGTGATGATAAGACTGCCTTGAGTCTTAATCCAAAGGGCGTGTTTATGTTTTAAGTGAGCATTAATTTTGAATCTTGTGTTCCAGTAATATTTACCTTAAAGCAAGTTATTATATTCACAATTTACTTAATATTTTCTCATTTTTATGACATATTTATAATTTTTTAGT